TATAATCTTTGCTTTCTTATTATTTAGAAGTAACGTGATTTATAATTGTCCTATATATATAATTATCCTGCACACTTTTCTTCTAAATTATAACCTTTAAACTATTATACACTATTATAATATAATAATATAATAAATTCTTAATCTTAGGAAGCCAGAATTCTCCTTATTATCTAGGCTATCCGTACTAACTAAGAAATATTGATCTGATGTGCTACAAAGACATATAACGTCCCTCAAACTATCCTCTATGATTATATAAAGGGCTGCACCTTAAAGGCTGAAGAGCGTAATGCTCAACATATTTTAACCCTGACTGAAGAAGAGACACTTATACAATATATCCTTGACCTGGATTCGCGAGGATTCCCACCCCGGATTAATAACGTACGAGATATGGCCGACCTTCTTTATAAGACGCGTTACACAAAGCCTATTAGTAAGCAGTGGCTATAAAATAATAAATAATATAATATCTTAAGCATATTTTTCTTTAATTATTCTTATAATATTTTCTTAAGGTCGCCTTTCTTTCTTATAGATTTCCTATTTATTTAGTTCTTTCTTTAAGGCTTATAGTCTTTCCTTAGACTCTCTTCTATAATACTTAGGGATTGCTTTATGTCTTTATAATCCTTAGTATAATAGCTAGGTTTTTTATAATATAAGCATAGTCCTTTCTTATATCTTTTTATTATAAGCTTACTAGAAATTCTCTACTTGCTTTTATTATTTTAATTCTTCTTAAGTAACCCTTATTTTTTTTCTTTCTAAGTTATATCTAAGTCTATAGACATATTTTGTCTTACAAAATAATGTCCTTATACTTTATACTTTAGACATTATATATTAGCCTAGTATTATATTAGAATAATAATATAGTTCTTTTTTCTTCTTTTAAGTTATCTTTTATAGTTTTAATTATTTATCTTAATTACTATCTTAATTAAAGATAATAACTTACTAGATTAATTAATCTTAGATAAGTCATTTTTAATAAAGTCTTTTAGCCCTTTATAAAAGATGACTAATAAGGCGGAGTCCTTCTAGTCTACTTATAAGGTAATCTGGTAAAATCTGGAAGCGTAGTCTGCAATAGATCCCTTCTGCCTTATTTGTAATAGATCTTTTTCGGCTTCCTTAACTATGTTTATGTCCTTATATACTTATTTAATCTTAATTATAAAGTTAGCAAAACTATAAAAGATTTGTTATATATCTAGTTCTTAGTCTTTTATTATCTCTTTAAGTTTATTTTTAAAGTAGAGTTTAAACTAGTTATATATAGCCCCTTAAAGAAAGATGACTATATATAAGACCTTCTTTTTATTAATGTTTATTACTTATATATAAAATAATAAGTTAATTCTTAGTTAGTTCAAAAATTCTTAATGTCTTTTGTAATCTTTATAAAAGAGATTTAATAATATAACTTTAAATTATATATTTCTTCCTTAGCTCTTAATAATAGTAATAGGTCCTAAGATAACTAATATAGTATATGTCTTAAGTAATATATATAATATCTGTTTAATTATACTTAATATTCTAAAGAGTAGTCAAAGTATTAGAGCTTAACTAGTTAAGACAAGTCTTAACTAGAAGCTAGGTCTAAAGGGTTGGTTAGGTAGAACAGGAAGTACAGTAAAGAATACTAGAATGTCTTCAACTTAGGTATAAGCTAATAACATTAACGTGCTGCAAAAACGTACAACGTCCCTCAAACTACCCTCCGCGATTGTATAAAGGGCTGCACCTCAAAGGCTGAAGAGCGTAATGCTTGACACATTTTGACCCTGACTGAAGAAGAGACGCTTGTACGATATATCCTCGACGGCTTGGTTAGTTCCAGGGTCTCCTCACACAGGGCGTGCAGCCTCCAAGGCCTGTCGCGGTGCCTAGTGCGTTCACGTGCTGTAACAGTTCTTAACACAGACTTAGTATATTAATCGAATACATCAAGGAATTATTATACTCTTAGCAATTAGGGTAAAAGTAGATAGACTTTAAACGCTTTTACTAAGGCATTATATAATATTTCTAAATAAACTAATATATTTTTCCTATACTTTAGAGGCCGCTCTATTTAATAGTTTTATTTTTAATACAAATTTCTTATGTTTAAGGTCTAACCTTAAGAGATTTTTATATATTAGATACTAGAATGTCACTTAGTTAGATACTTAATACTCAGAGATAAGGCCTCTTAGCTCTCCTGCTAAATAGAAGCTTCGCAGCCAACACTATATATAGGTGGACCGCGTCGTCGGCCGCAATCTTATATCAGGACAGTAAAAAAGAGCAAAACAATTAATAGCTAGTATTCGCTAATAGTCAGCTACCCAACTACTAACCGGCCGGCACATGGCTTAAGTACGGCTGAGTAAACAGGAAGCCCTGTGTTCCATGTCCTATGGTCGATTATGGAAGCAAGATATTATAAAATAATAATGCTAAACTTTAATCTAAATATAGAAAGCGCTCTTATATTTACCTAACCTGATATAAGATTTAAGTCTAGCTATTAGATTAGCATTACAGAATACCCTTTTATATATTAATATTACTAAACAGCTTAAGAATAGTAATTAAATAGTAGTGCTTGTTTATCCTGCTTAATCGCCTGATTTGAATCCTATAGAAGCTATTTAGGGTATTCTTAAACAGCGAATTCGAAGAAGAAGATGGAATAACCTTGAACAGCTCAAGGAGGTCCTGCAAGAGGAATGGGCTAATATTACTATGTAGGAAGTTCGAGCTCGTATTGCTGAGATGCCCTCTCGATGCAGAACCCTAGCAAATTCAGGTGGAGAGGCCATCAGATCGTCTTTGTGGTGATAATGGTGATAAGTTTGTAGCAAATTACCTGTTTCAGTTAAATTTCGGCGCAAATAGTGTTGCATGAGTTTCTGCACCCCCTGGTGGGGCTAAACTTGAATTCCTGATAGTAATACACATCAAACAGTTGATGCTCTGAGTCATACTGCTCCACACCGTGTTTGGGGTCCTGTGCAACCTGTGAACCACGTGTCCCTGGGGCTGCTCTTCCTTGGCTTGTACAGCCCAATAACAGGCTGACAGCAATTCTACTGCCCAGGGTTCTCCGTCTCGCCCCCTTTTCAAGTACCTAATTAGTACATGAATTGTTCGGGCAATTATAGAAAGTACCCTCTCAATTTAGTTACATGCAGAACTAGACTTGGTTTATATCGTCTAGGATTCGCCTGGAGCCAACCCACGCTGTCGTCTGTTTCCACCGTCCAATCGTATCGCACCTGTTTATCTTCACTGCGCAGTTGGCGCTCAACAGAGTATTTGCACTGCCGCTGTGTCTCAAATGAAATAGGATTTCTTGTCCCTATTCTTAGATATGGGAGCATTGTGAGTGTTGCTTCTATCGATGTCTCAAGCTCTTTATTAGAGAACAGGACGTGTTGTGATGTAAGAAGGCTAGAGGTTTCACTTATTTAATTCTCTGATCTTCAAGTTTGCTCTGCTTTCCTACTTCTCATTTTGTGGCCTCTTGAGTCGATCATCGAAATGACCACATTAGCAGACTTACAGCTCGGTCCGTTGACAACAACCTTTACGTACCCCCCAGACTGCAACAGCATAACCGTCTCCGCTGTCGGAGGCTCCAGCTACTCGCCATTCGTATATCCCCGCCTTTTTTCCTCTATCGCAACCAGCTGTTTCCCATCAGGCTACCCGTTAGGAAACGCCGCCTTAACCTCGACCTTTAGCGTATACGGCTATCAAGACCAACACGTTTACTTTAGTCCAGGACTCTGCCCCAGCGGATGGCTGCATAACACGGTCGGCACGTCAAATGCTGAGACGACAGCGTTCTGCTGTCAACCAGGCTTCAATCCCGGGACGGCACCTGCGGTGCTGGGCGGAGCTCCATCCACTTTCTGCACTTCGAGGATAGACTCGACGGTGATAACGACTATCGCGTATACAGGGGATGGGGAAGCGGTTGGATTCTCAAGTACATTTACATTTCGTGAGAATGTGATACCTGCGCCTGCGATATGGATCAGGTATAGGGATAGCGATTTTGATTTGTCCGCTACAACGACTAGCACTTCCCCTACAGCTTCATCCTCAGACACATCTTCAAGATCGCAAACTTCCTCATTGATCAGCAATCCAAGCTCAACTCCCGTCTCAGCGTCTGTGCCTTCAACCGGCCTCTCAACCGGCGCGATGATAGGGCTAGGACTCGGCATTCCTTTCGCAGTAATATTAGCAGTGGCGGTCTTCGCATTCGTCTTCATAAGGAGACGGAAACAAAAACGCTTGGGCCATGTATCTGAAAACGAAGGAGAAAGCTCTAGGTTGGAAGCCAACAACCAGGCTGAGCTGCTAGGTGAAAGGGTGAAGCCGAAAAGTGAGCTGCCGACTGGAGAAGTGAGGGTAGTGTCTGAGCTTGAGGGTAAGTAAACACAAGAAGCACATAGCAGGCAGATTCATGAAATGTCCGGCTTGTCCTTTGGTGGGGCCGGACGATTACATAGCGCGAAGTAGTCTACCAAGCGTGCTGAGGAGTCAACTATAGTCAATAGGCTTACCTGTCTGGTCGTCTAATCAACACAGAGGTATCAGAAACATATTAGTGAGGATGAGAGTATAAGATCAAAGCTTGTAGAACGTCCTCGGATTAGTGTACTTGATACTTCTTTAGCGTAAGGTCTAACACATTATCCTAACGCTGACGAGACTCCTGCTGCCCTGGCATCACCCGCCCAAACTCCTTTGCCTTGTCCATAACCTGTTCGTTCTTCTAGGCCAGCTTCAACTTGTCACACTTAAGACTGATATCTCTATAATAAAAAATTTACAGCTACTTAACAAATATTATATTTAATAATTTAAAGTTAATATATTAGAGTTTCTTAGTCTTAATTTAGTTTTTAAGAATTTTATTTTAATAAAAGAGTCTTGATTAGATAAGTATACTTACTTATTACACACAAAAGTTTATTTACTTATTCTATAACTTTAAGAATCAAACTTTAAAATAGGAAAAGAAGCTTAATTGTAATTCAATAGATTTATAGCTACTAAATAATATAGATTTCTTATTATTTCACTTAATATCTATAAATTCAGTATAAACAGCTCCGCAGTATATGTGATGGATGGAGTATCTCCTCTGCCATAGCGCAGGAAATACACGGGACCAGCCACGTACTCGGATGGCAGCGCCGATGGCGTATCCACAACGGCACGCGGAACTCTTGCCGTCAAGCTACTATGCCGCCGATAGAGGCATTCGTACGGCACGTGGCTCTCCGTACGAGTACCATGGAACAGGAGATTGATACAACCCCTTTAGGGAAGTACAATCTCCTCCAGAGGGAAGCTACCGTTTCTGGCCCTGCAGATACTCCGTCGGATCCTCCGCGCAGGTTACCTAGTAGCACCCCTGGATTTCGATGGAGGAGTATATAGATCAGCGCGTTGGCCGCACTGTAGATAGATTCCTCTGCTTACGTTTTAGCAATCTATGGACTATTGACTTGTTCTAGTTTCGGGCCATTGCAATAAATAAGACGACTTTTTATAATAGAACCTAATTATATTAAATTTAATTACTTCAAAATAAGCTTAATAATATACAAAAACAAAAGTATTATTAAGAGGTCAAAAAGCGCTCAAAACGCATGCTAAAAGAGAGAATGCAACGTTTATAGAACCTTAAAGAGGTTAAGGCTGCTAAAGAGGGCAAAGCGCCCTCTAAGGTGCAAATTGTGCACTGTGAGATAGTGATCCAACTTCACAAAAGAGTTACGCCCAAGTAACCAAAGTTACTTGAATGCAGTTGGAATAGTATATTAATCCTTATCCAGATGCCCTAGAGAGAGTCGGACCACGACTCCATCTAGGCCCCAGGAGGCCTCCATGTCAACTCCGTGACACACTGTAAAGAGGATTTATTACATATAAGGATTCTCTTAGATAGACTTAAATAGGAAGTATCGCCAGCTTTATTATTTCCTTAATTAGACGTGAATGTTAGGCCATTTGAGTGATAGAATTACTGCGTAAAGTAAAGTGTATGCAAACTGTCTCGCCAAGTGGGGTGTCTCGCCAAGTGGTAGTGTACGTTAGTAACCACTTCGAAGTGACGGTTTTGAAGGTTTTCAATTCAGCTGCTACATACTACGTTATGTCAAATTCGGTGATCAGTCAGTTTCAGTCAGTTTCCGCCGCGCCGTTAATCGAATACTTAGCTGAAGCTCCATCCCATACTCACATCCTCGTCGGCCAGCTTTGCTGCTAGCTTGTGCTTTCATGTTGAGCAGCCCGACTACCACGTTGCGTGGTGTCTCTCACGTTCCATATTGGAAGCGTATGATGATCATACTGGTCCTGGAAAGAAATTTCACACTCAAATTCCTAAATGGACGTCAGGGATTTCTGTACCATTAAACTAGCACCTTCTCTTTACTTCTGGCTGATGACACATATTGACATTGTTCGTTGTTGTCGTTTTATCAACTCTAATAAAGCTTCGATACACGAGATCATTGATAACTGTGTACTAGACTGAGCCTTAAGGTAGTAAGCGCCTTGCCAAAGTAGCCACCTCAAGTGCATCAGACATGCATACCTCCGAGCTGGAGTTCACCAAACTCTGCTCCTTCCTCTGTACTAATTCTCGCCGACAAATTGCTCTGCACCTCCGCCACTTACTACAGGAAACCTCTGAGAAAGATGTGTCTAGGCTGCTTTTCACAGCTATTAGACTTGGGAAGGTGCAATCTTCGGTCTCTCATGTCCTTCTGTCTGTCACCAAATCTCCAATAACCCTGATCGAAGCTATCATCCAAACGCATTCCGTTCATCTTCGACAAGTTGGCATCAAGTATCTGGGAAAGGCCCTCCGAAAAAAACAGTGGCGAGACTTATGGCATGCTGTCGGAGGTACTGAAGGATTTCTTTCACTATTCGCAACACTGTCGACACAAGAAGTTGGGCTTCTTTCGCGTCTCTTGAAAAAGTCTCGCAATGGTCACACTGAGAAAGAGAAGGCAATTCTGATGACCGAGCTGCTGTCCAGCCTGTTCAGTTCCAACTTTCCTGATGCCCCTTTCAAGAACCCAGATGAACGGTTGCTCCAGAATCGGTACGCAGTCATTGCTCCAGCCAGCAGTCAGAGCTTTGTCAGCGCTCTCCTTTCCGATGAGGCACACCCATTGAGACAATACCTTTCGACTACCGACATCTCACTTCAATGCGACCATGACCTGCTGCAGTCACTCACCCTTACCGCAATCTTCGAGAAGAAGAGCACTAGTTTCAACATAAGCTTGGTGCTACGTAGGCTATGCCAACATGCGCCCCCTGGACAAAGCAGTCTGCCCGGGCTTTCAGCCACTATGCTCTTCTCCTTGAACCTGCTGCGTGAGATTGGCAATGGGAGAGAGGCCAATATCTCTACACAAAGTCTTCTGACTGACGTTGTCGAACCCTTGTTGAGACGAATTCAGAAAAGGCGTCGAGCGTTAGTTCATTTGGAAGAAGTTCTGCATCTTGCAATCCGGGTACTGCAATTGCGATCCGCGCCTGGGGGACCACTCCATTCACTCGGTCACCACAAAGGTGACTTTTCTATAACGTCTTACAATGGTGGTCCAAGAGCGCAGCGGCTCTCATGAAATGCTGGCTGATCTCTTGCAAGTCTTTGAGCTTGATGCAAATCAAGTCCTGAAATTGTACCAAGGAACTCACGAAGAGGTGCAGCCAAGCCAACGCTGGCCACTTCTTCACCTGCTATTTCTCCACAACCCTAAACTTCACGCCGACATCGATACCATTGAAGGCCTGCAAAGGCTCAAAGATGTGAGATGGATGTTCAATCTATTTCTAGATCTCCCAAAGGATCAAGCGTTGCCTCTGCTGCGAAATTTGATTGCCGTTATGCCTGACACGAACTTCTTAGCTGCATATCGTGCGCGTGGCTTTACTATATTTGCACACCCCCCAACCATACAAGCTTCTGGGGGAGACCCTGACCTACTCCTGACGTTTCTCGAGAGGGAAGAAAGCGGTGCCTTGCAACGTGTAGAGAAGGCCATCACAGAGAAAAAACGAAAGTCAGCAACTAGTCGCGAACACGCGGATCGAGCTTTCTTTGCCAAATCCGCGCTACACTATGCCATCGCTAGCGGGTCATTAGCTATCTATGGAGAGACTGTCGCTTGGGCGCGTCGTTTCATCCGCGACCCTCTCACATGCAAGACGTTGTACACGAGATCCACAACCAATACCGTTGAAGGCATTGCCCTACTGGCTGGCATACCTTCAGACGTGTCACAATGTTGCGACGCTATTGATATTGGTCGCAGGGTAATCTCTGCTAATACTATCGTTTCAAATTTCTCCCAGACATGGTTTGAAGCTTCGAAGGAGCCACACTTTCAGAGCCGTGATTGGCAGGGGCCTGTGGAGCTTCTCGAGGAAGTGATCAGCGCACGGCGGGATAAAGCTGCAGACTTACGGCGTGCTCTAAAGTTATCGGATGATGAGGTGCTTGACACGTTATGGCTTGAGATGTTGAAAATGCTTTTTGAGATGAAAGGGAAAGAGTCGGAGCTGGAGGGTCTTCTCATGCATATCCAATTACCTCCGCACTATCTTGCTCGTCTTGCCACAGAGGCTCTTGACAAGTTGTCGTCCTTGTCAGCTAACGACGAAAGGACTGCCTCAATGGAGCGCAAGACTTACAATCTTTTGCGCCTACTTGGCTCAAGTGACTGTCCACAACTCGCATCCGACCTGGTCTTGCGGGCGGTCTTAGACCGTCCGGAAGCAAGCTCGTGGCACCGAATGCTTTTAAGCAAAAGCTTGATTATGCGTCTTTCAGCTACCAACGCGCAAGCATTACTCAGATCATTCGCCACTTCGATCAAACTGAAGCTAGATGCTCAGGCGCAACGGCGGGCTTCTCAATCAAGTACGACCAAAGATTCAAAACCAATCATCAAGGTTACGACTGTCAAATATCTCGCTCAAATTCTTGGTGATTCAGAGCTGGTCGCTCCAACATTTGCTGTGGACGTGCTTTCTGCTCTACTTGGCAGTGAAGCTCATTTAGATGTCCGTATCGCTGTCGTCGAAAGCTTGCTGGCTATGCTCACGCGATGCACCTCTGAATCATCAAAGCCACTTGCGTCAAGGTTGCTATCGGCATTGGAGGAGACAATTCCAATTGCGGGCAGCCTGCACGAGCGACGACTGCTAAGTGATGCAGATTGGATTGAAGCTGATAGGACAGGAAACCCGCCAGAGATATATGATGATGGTGGCATTGATACTATGCCGCCTCTCTTAAATCTACTCGTGCAGTGGAATCCAAGTTCTAGGTGGAGACCTCAAATCGTTCAGCGGATACTGCTTCCCATCGTGAAAGTCTCAACGGCTACCAACAATCGTTGGGTGAGGATATTTCTTGCTCGACATGCATTCGTATTGGATGAGTACCCTCCAACCCCTGTGAAGCCCATTCTGCTGGCTATGCTGCTCTCAAAGGACCCCGGCTTGATGCCTGCTTCAATCCTTGAGCATTGGCACCAAGTGGTTCTGATCAATCTCAATCCCTCCGAGGAGATAACGAATATCACGCGACGGGTCAAAGCAGATGTGGTGCTGCACAAATCAAACGAAGGTCGCCATTGGTTGTCGCTTTTCGGCATGGGAACTAGTGCTTACCAGTTGGGACGCTTTAACCTTTCTCGTCAATTGCTGAGCTGGGCCAAATCCGAAGTTGAGGATGGTATTAACCTTCTCCAGATACAGCATATTCTCCTTGACCAGGCAAAGGCGTTGCTGTTCCTCTCGGATGATACGTTTGAGTACTGGAACAGGTTCATGGAAGATTTTGAACCTCGCAATGGATCATATATAGCCAACGAAGATATGGTTGCTTGGGCAAGGAACACCAGACCGGTTATCGAGAATGTCATTTCTTTCGTTCAATCACTCCGTACACCGTCCTGGCAGCAGAACCCGGATCGGCAGCCTTCAGTCTTGCCTCCAATATTTCATCTTCGACTTTGGCTTCTCCCATACCCGAATATGACTTATACCTTGACATCAACCACAGGCCCAGCCTCTGCCCAAGCTTGTAGAATGTTCGCGGAAGAGCTTGCAAGCTGCGGTTATTCTCGATTTGCAGCTGTTGGCAATAACGATACCTCAGCTTGGCATTATGCTGAAACTTTTCAGCACCTCTCAAATGCAGCTTCCAGGGGTTGTTCCTCGGACTTGGCTACATTACTAGTGGCATACTATCTTGGGTACCTCAACCCCGATCTCAAAATAGGAAGCACTTCTTCTGTTATGGAAAGTCTACGTTTGGAGTCGGGTGACTTATTGAGACTTGATCTCGCAGAAAAGTTGTTATTGGATATCGACACGAGAGCTCTGGTGAAAGAAAGCAGAGAGGTACAGCAGGTATTGGAGTTGGTGTCAAAGTGGAAAAGGAGCACGAACGAGGAAATTAGGATGAAGGGAATCAGAATCGCTAAGCGTTTCTGAAGGTTCCACCACAAACTGAGACTCGCAGCTGGCAGTATCTATCCAACACAAGGATTGGGTCTCTTTCTCGGCATATTGTAGACCTTGCGAGGCATCATGATCCCATTCATGTCCTCATGCTTGTTTCGTTCCTTTTCCTCGATAAGTTCTCAAGGATAGAGTGGGCTCACCTTGACCAAAAACAGCATGCAATTGGTATTTGAATCCTGTTTCAATGAAGACCACCTACTGCTTTGCACAGCCTTCCATCTGCCTGCTGGACCCAGTAGTCGCTACCTACAGCGGTCGTGGCATAGAATATATGGTTTGGATCGTACTTTTCCTTGATTGACAGCAAACGATCGTAGTTTTTACCATAGAATACATTCTTAAAGTCTGGCTGCAGAAAGTCGCCTTCATTCAAGTAGCATGCACCATTTGGTGTGAGCGCCGCAAGCCGCGGGATGAAATCATAGGTCATTCTTCGTTGATTCGCTATCATCTCTTCCCATGGCGCGGTGAAGCTCCATGGCCTATCGCATTGTCAGCTAATGCTAAGCGCTGGACGAAGACCAAAACTCACGTCGTGATTACAGTGTCAATAAGAGTTTCTCTCCACGCAGGATTGACGGAGTTATACACATTGCCCGCTACTGCCCCAGAGACGTTGAGGCCAACTCCAATAAATTGGCCTCCATGCTCATTGATGTATCGACACACTGATGTGAGTGCGTCATTGCTCTCTTTAACAACCGAGCGTGGAATCAGTCGACCTCCGAGCTGGAGGATGCCGACTTCAAGAGGTGGCTGCATACCAGTAAACTGTTCCAAGAAACTGGAAAATTGCCGAACGACAAGGTTGTATTTGATGCCAAGCTGTTCGAGTTTGTTCAGAAACGGCGACATCAATCGCTCAAGCTCTGCAGCTGGCACCCCTGGGCCGGTTAATGGTGAGATGGTGAAACTCGTGTTGGTAAAGTACCAGACACTCATCGCACCAGCATCGACGAGAGCGGGCAATGTCGTATGTTAGGCAGATACAGCTTCGTAGTAAGCGTCTTGCGAAATGCCCTCGTTCGAAAAGGTCAAATTGGCGCCGGAAACAGGGATGTTCTCATGCGCTTTGATAGTCAGAGACACGACCACTCCGTACGTGCCTCCTCCTCCACCACTTAAAGCCCAAAAAAGATCTGACTTCTCGCTTCGACTAGCTTTGTGGTACTTTCCTGTCCCATCGATGGCTTCCCATTCTAGCGTTTGATCGGCAGCTAGTCCGTACTTCGACGCTAGCGCCGAGTGGCCTCCTCCTTGCGTGTAGCCGCCTGCGAGGCCAATGGTCGGGCATTCGCCACCAAGCACCAATAAACCGACTGCATCGGCAGCTCTATATGCTTCGAAGCCTTGGATGCCTGCTCCCATTTTCATGGCTTTCCCAACGTAGTAGGGGCTCTCATAGTCCATGATCTCAATATCTTTCATATGGTGTGTCCAGATTCCAATGGCACCAGCTCCGGTAGACTTGCCGTTGTAACTGTGCAATGGTGAGTCATCACGATTGCGACAAGCTAGGCGAGCTGACTCACTCGTGCCCGGTATTCCTGATCGTGAGGCGGATGTTATGATCCGTCGCGAATTGTATGGCTTTAGATATGTGAGCGGGCTCCGACACGTTGACTGAATAGGTATTATAAGTCCCGACTATACATCGATCATATCTCGGCAGAAAAGGGTCGCAACTTCGATTTGCAAAGAAGGGTGCCATGACGGACGCCGGATCGCCATAACTGGCACGGATGAGCCACCTAAACGGCAATGGGGGAGTCATGTTGGGGCCTTACTGTGTCTCAGGCTTGAGCCATCCTCTCTGTAGAGCCTCGCATTTTGTAGCATTGTAAGGAGTGAATTGATCGTCATGGCAAGAACTACCAAGAGGGACAGTGGAGATGAGTCTGCCACCCAGTGACTGGTTAAAGGTGGCGAACTCCCGAGTCGAGGGCCAACACGGGTCACTTGGATAGCATCGACATTGAGATCGCTGACTGCTGCTGTTCGATGCGTGGGGGGTCAAGAAAGGGGAAACGATAGCGCAGAGTAGCACATAAATCAAGCGAACTCGGTCCATCGTTGCTATTTGAAGTTCAAGGAGAGTCAGGGAAGGTCAGTGAAAAGTGCTCGGTTGTATAACACTATTTAATGTGCTGGAATATCCTATAGCTCTTCAAATGGATTCCTATACACCAGCAGCTAGATGCACAATCGGATCCGGGATCAAAATTCAACCAGAAAAAATGATTAGGTACGTACTTACCTAATGTGGTCGGTCTCAATACTGTCCTTGATAGCTGCTAGACTTCAGCAATCTCATTAGATATTTTCTACCTCGCTTGCATTCTGGCAAATCGCAACGTGGAGTGTCTTCGGGTAAGCGGAGGAAATGATGGCACATCTCTAGCCGCAGGTTCCACTGACGCGGCTGATATGCATAGAAGAGGGTCAAGGAGCGTGATGCAACCTTACGGGTATATTCGCATGGTTCTACCCTGCATCGGCGGAATATTGCCCATTCAAGCTGCCAAAAGTGTTGCAATCCCTTGGCACATGCTTTGGAGCTGCTGCTGCTCGAGCGGTTCATACTAAATTTATAGATGTCAAGTAGAATGACAGAAATCTATATTATTCAGGAGTTGGATCTGTTGACTTACAATTGAGCTTGCTTTTCTGTTTTTGAGGTCTAAATTTGAAAGATTAAGAAGTCAAAGTTTTATCCACTCCGCGGGCAAGAAGGGGGTTCGAATGCCTCAATTAGCGCTGTCGATCTTATTGATTTGATGTTGCCACAAGTCGTGCATATCAACGTCTTTACACATCTTCTTCGAGAGAGGACATCATCAAGAGTAGACTGATCCAAATATTCTTAGATTATATATCCTAGATGCCTGCTTATAGAGAGGTTGTTGTGAGAAGTTTTCCAGGTAACCTTATTTGAGCTTAATTTTTGCGATATACGCTAATTGAGGCATTGCCCGCGGGGTGGATATAGAGAATATACCCAATCCAAAAAATTCTCTTTATAAAAATAATAACAAAAGAATCAGAAGAAGCTCAGCTACGCACTAATACAAGTCTCACAAATCCTAGATTTTACATAGCTCTCTAGTTGTTTGAGTAAACAGATTAGGTGTTGCAGCACTGGCAGCTCTGAAGCATACGACAAGGAATTGTAACACTTTTGCAATGGGCAATATCGGCTCATTGTGTACTCCTGTGTCATCTGGCTCTCTGTCCAATACAGGCGGCTATTGCATTCTATAGGTTGCTAAATGACTAATTAATTCGAATCAACACGAGCTCTACCAGGATCAGAACAAGGTTGTATCCTGGAAAGGCTCTGTGCAAGCAGTGCAAACAGAGCGTGATGTAGCCACCATGCATGTGGAGGAATACTATCTGATGCATCAGTGGCAGAGCTTCAAGATCAAATCTGCTGCAGAAATAGAAGCCACTAGCGACGACCTCTACACAACGCTCATTGAAATCCCCAACCTTTGTAATGGCGACAGTGACGAGGGAACTGGTCATGGTAGGTCCAGGCCCATAGGCACTAGTCAGACCAACTAATACCCAGCTTAACCCTCGTGACCTGAAAAGGTTTTCCTGAGAGGGTTTACGTTGACATGGAGCAAGATATCAAGTCAAAGACCAGCGTTGTGCTGAAAACCCTTCTCGCTGTACGAATACATGTTAGCACTCCGTGCTGTATTGCCCTATAAGGTAGGACAAACTTGTTCTAGCATGAGTCGTATTCTTCATCCAATGTTCTTAATCCGCCAGTACGTTCGCCTATCGTACCTCGGTTGTCGTCCGACATGTCTTTTATCCCTCCCTTCTCCCTTTCTCTTTTCCGATCAGACTTCTCGCAGTACCGCAGACCCAGATGTTGGGGCCTGTCACTTCATCCCGTAAGGCTTCGTCTGCGTTTCTCTCTCTTTCGTCAAGCAGCTGGCAGACCTTTTGTTCAATCTCCTTCGCCACAGCTCTATTGCTGCTGATGGTGACAATGGATCGACACCAACCATAAAGAAAGACACTCTTGTTGATTTCACTGAGCCCTTTGGCCACCTCTGACATCACTCCAGCGGGAATTTCGGACTTGTCCTTTACTAGCATCGCATCAGCATCAAAATCGACAACCCGAATCGGTAAAAGTAGTCCGACTGGAACGTCGTGGTCGGAGAAGTCTTTCAGCCTAGCACACAGCTCAACCTCAGGTAGTTCCTTGTATTCGCCTTCACCAAGGATGATATCAGCCCTTGCCTTCTCTGCTACTGTACCCATTGTGTGCACAATTTCCCTCATTCGCCGGGCGGCGTGCCAGGTACATTCCATTTGACGTCCGACCAGGGGAGGGAAGAGTTCTGATTGTAGAAGTAGCGTCGTCTCTTCTGATTTAATTTGCCGAGTGATGGCAGAATGATACTTGCCCTCTGGTGCGACGGGCAGATTTTCGGATCGCAGATGCGAGATATCAGAAATCAGGGCGAGAAGAATGGTGCAGTCAATATTAAGAACCGTCGATAAAGGCGGATGGGTGCGTGGGAGCATGCGTGAAAATATCGAAGAGTGGCTGGAATCCACGGTTGGGTTCTGCCTGTTGAAACAACTTTGCATTTCTGCTGCACATTGCACTTCGACACCAGTCTTCCTGAGATCTTGAATCACAGAGTCGATCTCTGGTAATCGACCTTCAAATATCCTGGGCAAAATGAATTGTATTCTCGGATGCCGATAGCGAACTCTGACAGCACAAGCCGCTTTTATCAGATCCTCTGCCAATCGTACAAGTTCCAGGCGATAGGCCTGACAACGGGTTGCGCCTGGAAGCGTTCCATTTTCAACATCGGAATCACGGTGATCTTCACTGGACTCATCATCATACCCTTCCCAGCCTTCCTTGGCCATCTCGAAAAGCAGCCTCTTTTCTGTGATGGTAGACACCTTGATCCAAGTCCCACCATCGTCTGCAACAATGTCTGCTGCAGCTGCATCCTTCCTTCTTACGGTCTTGCTAGCTATACCAGCTTGTCCGAGTGACACAGAATTGTGATTAGGTGAGTCCTTCTCATCCGCCAGGCTCACGGTCCGAACGCGACGATTTCTCATTCCCAGCGCTATTAAACCCTCGCATCTAATTGCCACTTGCCAAACCACCTCATAGAAAGGTAAATTAGAGCTCTGCAGAACATGTAGGCGTTTGGCCTCAACTGCGTCGTTCTTGTCATCTGCGATCAACCCTTCATTGGAAATGACATTAGCAATGCGTTCCAAGCTTTTTGTCTCGGATTGAACACCCAAGAAGAATTGGCGGATCCTGACAGTGTCCTCTTTCCTCTGCGATTGCAGGTATGATTGGAAGGCGGTCAGTTCTGCCAGCAGGAGCCCAGCACGATGAAGAAGGTTAGCATGCACAAATTTGGAGGATGTAGGCTCATGTTCAAAGTGTGACTGTTTCTGCGTTTCGTTTTTCACGATATTGGTGGACAACATTGGAGATAAAATGGTTGTAGCAGAATTCGACGCTGTGCGGGAACAAGAATGAGTACGTATCGTAAAGTTACCTCCGAGGTCTTCTCCAATTGGCCATGGCCGAGGCAGCCAGATCAAAACACATAAAAGTGGATCCTTAGAGAATGTTGCCATGCTGAATGAGCCATCACTGGAGTATTTTGTGCGGGAGATCAAACATCTTCAGAGTAATAAGTTTTAATTTTGGGCCAAGTGAACAGCCCCATACTACGATTTCGATTCTCGCTCCTCAAACGCCAGCTAGCTCAAGGGGTATCATAAAAGCCATGCCACGCCTGCAATGCCAGCAAGAAGTCATTCGTGAGATTATTTCTCCCCATCCCTGGTCTCTTGACTTGGCAACCACATGCAGACCTTTGTGTCTGCTGATGCAAACATGTTGTATCTCGGATTGCATTCTACAATCGCACTTTTGATACCTCTACTAGGCAACCGGGAAATGGGCTGCAAGTATTCATGACGGCCTTCCACAGCCTGATGTGTATCCCAAACCAATATATCCGGGTGATCTCCAGTGCCTCCTATGACGTACCGACCGTCTTGAGTGAAGCAGGCATCTCCCTGCCCCAATGGTTTTCCAGTCGTCGAGACAGGTGCAGCCCTCCCGGTGGAGCCTGATCTGCCTGTCAGGAAAACACTGACTTTCCCCTCAAACGCATCGACGACAAAGTGGCCGTGGTAATCCGTACTCAATAGGATGCTCTTACCATCATTCGAAAATTCCAATCTTGTCCAAGCTCGCCCTTTTGTAGACGGAGTAAACCTATCTTCCCACTCCATCATTTCGAACGTTGAGAATGGCGCTTTGTCAAAATTACGCACATCATAGAGCAATATTGAAGAAGTTGATTGGGAAGCAATGGCCATGACATTGGCAGACGGGTCGTAAGCAGCGAGATATGGCGTTGCCAACTTAAGCTTGCCTGTTGGGTTTCGAGACTTCAGATCCCACAAACAGACTGTATCGTCTGTCCCGCAAGACAGAAATCCATCACTTCCTGGAGATAGCGTAATACACGTCACTTGAGAGGTATGGGCTGTAAAGTAGCGAACGTAGCTCTCATTGTGTAATTCGAGAAGGCGAAGCGAGTCGTCGACCTTGGTAGAAGCATAAAGTACTTCGCGTGAATGATGCGTGAAGCGTGCTAGGTGGATCCCATATTTTTTGCTCGGTACAAGTTTCGTTCTCTTGCCCTCCTTGACATCAAAAATGTGCATCGTCTCATCGGCAGAAGCTGCAACAAGGTAGTCGCCTTGATCATCGAAATCGAGGGAAGTAACATGGGATTCGACAGGCTGACCTTTAACGATGTGTGTGAATTGCTTACCAGAAACTTAGTGCGCGCCCTGCAACAACATTGGAATAACTCACCCTAGACGGCCGATAAGTCTTTATCACATCTTGAACCCTTTGCGTTACTGGTAAGGGTGCCTGCCCATCATCCATGGGAGTCGCCATAGTGTAAATTTTGGCGACACCCAACGACCTGGAGTAGAAGTTATTCTGTTATTCGTGTTTTTGATTTCTCAGCTTACTAGAGGATGATTGCGGAGTTTAGATTTCGGCTCCGATTGCGGGCGGGCGGCCTGGTACCTTTTTCCAACAACTTTTTGGAGCGCAGGCATTCATGTCAGTATGCTCACGCATCATGTCCTTTCCTATATTTCCGGGCTTCACGGGTCGTCTCCCATGATCACATAATACTTTGCTACTCCCTCGGAATCCCAAATCACTCTCCATGCTGAGCGCGACACTAAGGTAGTCGGTGCAAGCTGGCTGATATCTGCATTGGACGGAGATGTCTACCACTTTTGGGTATGTAGCAACACTGTGCCGCACAATGATCGCATGCTAACTCCTATCGGCCCAGAGCTTTCATCGCTGGTGGGATTGCTGCATGCGGCGCTGTGACAGTTACCCATCCATTCGAAACTGTCAAGATTCGGTTACAACTACAGGGGGAATTGCAAGCCAAGGATGTCGCTGTGCGGAAGTACAAAGGTGTGCTCCATGGAGTCAGCGTGATCGCACAAAACGAAGGACCGAGAGGACTATTTCGTGGCATTGGTTCAGCTTACGTCTATCAAATCCTTCTCAATGGGTGTCGATTGGGTTTCTACGAACCTCTAAGGAAAATTGTTACACAGGCCATATTCAAGGACCACAACGTGCAATCGCTTGGAGTCAATATCTTTTCTGGCGCAGCATCTGGTGTTCTTGGAGCAATGGCTGGATCGCCGTTCTTCCTCGTCAAAACTCGTTTGCAATCCTTTTCACCCTTTTTGCCAGTCGGCACACAGCACAAATACAAAGATTCGATCGACGGGTTGAGACAAATCTATGGAGGCGAGGGCGTTAGGGGTCTGTATCGAGGAGTTGGAGCAGCGATGGTCAGAACCGGGTTTGGAAGCTCCGTTCAGCTTCCCACCTACTTCTTTGCCAAACGAAGATTGGTAAAGCATCTCGGTATGGAAGAAGGCCCGGCACTACATCTTGCCAGCAGTACAGCAAGCGGGTTCGTGGTCTGCTGCGTAATGCATCCACCAGGTATGATGGCTCAAGGTCTTCTCGTATTCAACTAACTTTCGGGTAAACAGATACAATCATGTCTCGAATGTACAACCAGACTGGGAATCTGTACAAAGGAGTGTTTGACTGTTTGTATAAGACTGTGAAGACAGAGGGACTATTAGCCATCTACAAAGGATTCTTTGCTCACTTAGCACGCATCCTACCACACACTGTACATCTTTCATATGACGTCCCCCAGAAGGAGTGCATGCTAACAGTCAAACAGATCTTGACCTTGTCGTTGGCTGAACAGACGAACAAATTGGTTAGGGTCTTCGAATTGAGACTTCTGCCTGAATCTATCAAAGATAAAATCTAGGCAAGGGACATTCTGGGCGTTTTCGATGCGCGGCGTTGACATTATCTCCATCAAATCGGATGCATATCGTGGCGTAACTTTCGGATGCTCAACCAGGAACACCGCTGTGCTAAATTAGGAGGTGACGCAATTCTGGGCTTTGAGGGTATTCTACCCCTTCTAAAGGGGTACCGAGTGACAATTCAGGGTTGCTCGAATAGACTCGTAATCGAGATGGTAGCAATAATCATTATTGACTGATACGTATTCTGGGTTCCTGTGCTAGATCACGCCCATGCTCGTCGCTTTCATTGCCCTGAGAATGCCCTGTACCGCATGAACTACTCCGATTTGGCCCAGGAACAGTGCAGATGCAGGTCCTTCTGTCGGTTCGATTATTTCCCAGCCCCTCGACACATCTAGCCCCAAATAGTTAGCGTAGGCGACGCGAGCGCGCACGGGCGCGACTTAGAATCATTCATTACTACTTTCGCGGACTCACCCACTTCCTTTGTTTCTACATCTTCCTCGCCCTCTTTACGCATCACACAAGATCATACTGGTGCCAGCTTTCTTCAATCGTGACCCATCAACCATTTCAGCTTCGTCTTCACCAATGACAACTCAAATCACGCCGTCTAAAAAGGTTGGATCACTCAAAGCTAACCCCACCATTTGCTAACATCGTCTATGAGCAGGCGGCCAACAGCCTGTCTAATCTCAAGATGAATGACTCCCCTGCTAAGAAGATCGACTTCTCCTCCATGGATAAAGAAAATATTCCTGCTACCTCGCCAGTTCCCTCAAAGACAGAGGAGTCAGATGGGAAGAAGTCCATTGTGGAGAAGGTGAAGCCCGTCGACACACCCAAGGTCGCCCCTGGTATCAAAGCGCAGGAGATGGATGAGCCTCTTCTCCAAGAAAACCCTCACCGTTTCGTTCTGTTCCCCATCAGATATCATGAGGTACGCGTCTATGATTACGCGACCCGCGTTAAGTGGTTGGTAATAACTTCAACAGGTCTGGCAGATGTATAAGAAAGCCGAAGCTTCTTTTTGGACAGCAGAAGAAGTCGATCTGTCAAAAGATCAGCACGATTGGAGTGAACGTCTAAACGATGACGAAAGATACTTTGTCTCCCACGTCCTTGCCTTCTTTGCTGCCAGTGATGGCATTGTCAATGAGAACCTCGTTGAACGATTTTCAGGCGAAGTTCAGATACCCGAGGCTCGGTGCTTCTATGGCTTTCAAATCATGATGGAGAACATTCACTCGGAGATGTACAGTTTGTTGATTGACACATACATCAAGGAGCCCAAACAAAGACAATACCTGTTCGACGCCATTGACACCATTCCCTGCATCCGCAAAAAAGCCGACTGGGCTCTTCGATGGATTTCGGACAAGGAGTCGACTTTTGCTCAACGTCTTGTTGCCTTCGCAGCCGTCGAGGGAATCTTCTTTTCTGGCTCCTTCGCCTCTGTCTTTTGGCTCAAGAAGCGTGGCCTGATGCCAGGTCTCACCTTCTCAAATGAGCTGATCTCTCGTGACGAGGGTCTGCATACAGATTTTGCCTGCCTCTTGTTCTCCCACCTAAACCACAGACCATCAAAGCAGGCGGTAGAAGACATCATAACCCAGGCAGTCGTGATCGAGCAAGAGTTTCTCACCGATGCTCTGCCATGCGCATTGCTCGGCATGAACTCTACCTTGATGAAGCAATACATTGAATTTGTTGCTGATCGTCTACTTGTTGCGCTTGGCAACAACAAGTTTTACAATGTTACGAATCCCTTCGACTTCATGGACAATATCTCTCTTGCTGGCAAAACCAATTTCTTCGAGAAGCGCGTGGGTGACTATCAAAAGGCTGGTGTCATGGCAAGCACCAAGAAAAACCAGAAACCCGAATCTGGTGACCAGAAGACCGAAGCATTGCCGGAAAATGGCGGAGATTTCACCTTCGATGAGGACTTCTAGATTAAGATACCGATTGTGGTGTAATGGCGTCATGTGCATTGGATGGAGTTGTGCGGGAACGGTACAAGATCCTCACCTTCACAGTATGGCTGCGTCAAGTTAGGGCAGTTAGTGCTATCGGAGATTTGACCTTTAATCTGGCATTACCGTGTCAGACCTTCATTGGGTATAATGCTGCTATACATAGAATGCTATGAGCATTCAGACATCAATCCAGTCTGAATTATTCATCTCGTCCTCTTCTGACATATGACACAGTGTCTGCTGTTGATCCAAGTAATCTGGACACCCCAACCTACCTCCCCAGCAAGCCAATATGCCTGGTATCCTCCCCATTTCTCTCTTCTGTCGCCAACTGCTGCCGCATATGAGCAGGCTCCTAGGCGATGCTGCCCAAGTGAAATACATGATACTTCTCAACCCTCATAGAGGCGGAACTCAGTTTCTACTTATGAAACTCACACGTCGGCAGTATCTGCAGCTACAGCAAGTAGTCCTCATTTCTTGCCTTTCTTCTTCTTGGCCTTCCCACCTCCACCAACTGCTTCCGGGACCTTTTCCATCTTCGCTGGCATAGCGGTGATATCCATACTCTGCTCGGTCTTAGCCTCTATTGTCTCCACGCCGACAGCTGGGACACTTGGTTCTTCAGTTATCTCCCCCTTGGCCAACTTGCCGAGACCTGTCATCAATCTTCCCACTTCCGCCGACTTGTTTGTTTCATATTTCAAGCATATCCCAGACGTGGTCTCATAGGTTTTGATGGTGAGTGTTGCAGCATGGGTTTGGTGCTCGCGCCCAGCTCTTCTCCTACCTGCGGTGTCTGAAGAGGTATCTGGCTGTCCTGTAATTTCTCCTACTGAAAGCTTTGTTTTGCGCTTTCGTGGCAGAGAGTATTTTGTGGTGATACGGGTTGTGGTAGGGTATGCTTGAAGCAAAAGGGCGGACTGATGCAGGTACGAGTTCACGTTTGGGAGGTAAGGCATGTTGCAGGGGTGCGTGTTTGCTGTTTGCTGCTTGCGTAGTAGCCAGAAATCGTTTAATTGCAGTGCCCTGCTTGGGCCAGCTCGCGTGTTGGTCGTGATCTCCCAAACGACAAGGATACACAAGTGGCCCGAATAAGATGTGTGCTGCCAAGAGCACGAATGTGAGCTCAGACGGGGAACACTTAGTAATACAGAGTTGTGCCTCAAAAGTCATCAATATATGTTAAAATTAGAGCACCACTTACACATTCGATCTAAACTTCAGCGTCACGTAATAGTAATAAATGTGTTATATGGACCCCTTCTCCTTGGCCCCTAGAGCCCTCTTTAGGCAATTTGACGTGGCTCAGAGACCTGTATCAGTTGAGCTTCAGTCGTCCGGCCCTCTGACCATCCCTACGCCCCTACTTTTACTCGTCCTCGTTAATGTATATTGATAACTTTTGATGCACGAATCCGTACTAGAAGTACTTATCAACTAGTTCTTCGTAAAATTATTTTGGTCATAGCTAAGGACAGAGCTATTTTCCAGGAATCTTTGAATCATCATGTTTGTAGGGCATAACTGGGTCACGAAAGATACCTGTTTAATTTGTGCACGTGATCCCCTTCTCACGTAAAACTCCTCATCTCACACAAGGCCCACGAGACCAATAGCTCCAATTTGAAACAGAGCTACTCTCTATGCACGCTTCCATACATCTTCTTGCTCAATACAAGCGTCTATTACAGACTCCTATCAAGATTAAATGAAATGGGAACAGAATAAGCCTGGGTTGCATCACCAGAACATACGGTGTTACGCAATTGAGATTACCTTCTCGCCCATTTTCTGAATTAACCCATACATTCTCCCGAGTAAGCCTGATATTAAGCAATTTGACCTTAGTGTATGGCCTGTCTTTACATTATCATTGCTATAGTATAGGGCTGAGCTTGCTATGACTCCGCCCCATGCCATCCTGACTACTTCTAGTTGTGGCATGCGTCAACCACGTGCTTTTTCTGTTTCAATGGAGTCCTCTTGAGATGTTTGATTGCGCGTTTCTTCTTCTTGAAAACATCGTTGTTGGTGCTCAAGTCTCGACAGCCCACAAGAACCCATTACAGCTTGAAGGGCCCTCTGCTGTCGATCAAGCTATGCTTCAGTATACGCAGTGGATCCCGACTTCATTTGTCCAGGCACTCGGACAGGCCAAGGGCATTGCCTTTGCTGTGTATATGGTGACGTCTGTCTTGACCCAGGAATATGCCACTATACACATGCCATGCACGCGGGGTAGCGGGTATTATTTGGCGGATTGTAGGGATCCAGCATATTTGGATCAAGGATGTCCCGTGCAGTGTAGTATGAATCAGAGCGCTGACAGCTGGGGACTCATTACTGACACATGCTGGGTATTTGATCAACAGGATCCTGACATGGTCTACAGCTCAACCACGAACACCTGGTCTTGCTGTGGTGTTAATCCTACTGGGACAAGGGCTTGTCACGATCCGACAGTCTCACGAACCTTCCAAAGTCCATCTACAGAGGACTTGCTCGCGGCTTTCAACAGCTTGGGACCATCGTCGTCCTTATCACCGTTACCCACAGCACCAAACATAACCGTCCCATCAGCAAGTATTAACTCAGAATAGATCTCCAGCTCTCCGACAGCAGCAGCTTCTTCTCCACTTTCAGCCTCGGGCTCCTGCTCCGCTCAGTATTGGCACTAAAGCCGGGATGGGCGTTGGTTGTGCCATTGCTGGCTTGCTAGTTGTTCTGGCAGGGACATGTGCAGTCATCGTAACAAAGAGGCACCGAAGAGTATAGCGGCCTGGGCGAAATGAGAAGGGTTGTCTTGAGTCACATCAAGGAGGAAGGGCAGAACAGGATTGCAATGAAGTGAAACGCTGTGTCAAGAATGTATTTGTGTCAAGAAGTGGGTGTGAAACACATGGAGTAAGGAGTGTACCTGAATTAGAAACCCATGAAAATAGGCGATATCCCGGAAATGGGATCTTGAGAATTATGGATGTTTTTGTAGGTGGAGCAAGATCAAGCCGGTTGTGGATTTTGTTGTTCAAACCTCAGACTCACTGCCCAATTTTCCATACTTGCTGATTACCTTCTTGATGGTGCCTCCTTGGTCTCGTTTTATCCCCGTGAGCCAGTCGGTACTGAAGCGTTAGTCCATTAAATACAGCGATGAATTAATTCCTCGAGGACCTAATTAGAGACTTACAAATTTGCTTGTTATGTAAAATCGTGCTACTACGGTTCCGTAGCACATAGCTTTATGTCTTATAGATTAGTGCATTGATATTCTTTCCAGACGTGGTGCCCTTCAAGAACTCTTGCGTATATGATGATCCTGCATCACTGCATTTAGTAGCCTGTGTAAAGTTAGTAGCTCGGCTTGGCTGCATAGTCCGGAGGTCTCGCAGCTACGACGGGGGGAGGCATAATTATTGTTAGTCTGGTGCTAGTAGCGGCTAGTTCTTCTTACCCTGTTGTGATGCTGTGATTTGTTATTGCAAAGCTTGATTGAAGCATGACCATTCAAATGAGCTAAAATTTTACTTTTCAGTCTGATATGAGCTTAGCTGTTTCGTACAAAGAACGTTTTGGAGTAAAGATACTAGCGCTAAACTAACAATAATTCATGGACCCCCCGTAGTACATTACTAGTACGGCGCTCTTTAGTGGGAGAACTCCGGCTCAAGTCGCGACACAAATGGGAAATTTTGAGACATGGAGGTATCGATTACCTCTTCCTGCCGATACAAAGTCGAGTAATCCTTTCCAGGCATTGTCGAGGGCATGTCCCTACCTCCCAAGTTTAATCAATGTCTAAGATCTCCTTTTACGCCTTTTCGACCCTTTCTTTCCCGGACATATTCTCATTCGCCAGGAGTGAGGGCTCATGAGCGACCGGTTCTCAGGTACGCTCAACTGCCATCACGATCACTTATTGAGGTTGGACCCAACGCGGATAATGCTCGCACTTTTATACATGGCCTTGTGACAGCAAACACCGAAAGTTTGCAGTACACATCGTCCAGCTATTATACTGCCTTTCTGAATGCTGGTGGCCGAGTCCTGGATGATGTCTTTATATATCCACCTCCGAGCAATTTCGAACCCGGAACTGGAGGCTTGCGAGGCCAGGACGAGCCGGATCAATATATGATCGAAGTCGATAGGGAGAGAGCTGATGCCCTCATCAGACATTTGAAGAAACACAAACTGCGTAGGAAATTGAGCTTCCGTCTGCTAGATCAGGAGGAAGGTCCAGTATATGGGATCTGGGCAGATGAGCCAAATATTGACCCTTTCACGGCTTTGAAACCCACACTCGAACCACTTCGGAGCTGGAAGCTTGATCAAAGACCAAATATGGGAGCACGATGCATACTACGGTCAAAGGCGGAAATGGAACAATTTTTTGGCCCTCCTAATGCAAGCTTTGAGGACTATACAATACACAGAATGATGAATGGGATAGCAGAGGGATCAGCAGAAATAGTACCCACCTCTGCGTTGCCCCAGGAGAGTAATCTTGATCTTTTGGGTGCAATCGACTTTCGCAAAGGATGCTATCTAGGACAGGAGTTGACCATCAGAACTCATCATACTGGGGTTGTACGTAAGAGAATAGTCCCAGTCCAACTCTATGATAACGCATCGCCAAAACCCGCGACGGCCGATGCTCCAGAATACATCTCCACCGCGAAGTTCACATTGCCTCCTCGGCAATCTGCTATATCAAAGGTATCCGCTCGCAAAGGCCGAAGTACGGGAAGATGGCTTGGTGGTGTAGGCAACATCGGACTGGCATTATGCAGACTGGAAATAATGGCCAACATCAGACTGACAGAGGAAACTGCGCTCTATGATCCCGAGGAGGAATTCAAGGTGGTCTGGGATGAAGAGACGGAGACCGTTCAATCAAAGGAGCTCAAAGTCAAAGCTTTTGTGCCACGCTGGATGAGGCTGGGTATCGCGGAGAGACTGAAAAGTCTAAAAGGCCACCGTACCTGACATCGTTCTAAGGAAAAGCCGTCGTGCACTGATATCCAAGATCAGTAGAAGAGCAGAGCAACCCGACACGCAGTGAGAGTCTTCTTCATCTACACACGAGCATTCGAAGACAGTTTTGAGTACGTCTAGTCGAGCCATATCTTTGGTTGTTCTTGAGCCTTCTTCATTCGCAGAGCAAGGCTTTCGAAATAACGAGCAGCAGATCAGGTGTAATTGCTACGAGCATTGAAGGCATTCTGAGTCGAAGGTCGTCGCGTGGTGATCATCCTTCTGCTTCTTGGACTGTTAGCATCACGGCTGTGGGACCGAAAGTTGAAACGCAGCAATTCAACAGCCACACATGCAACAAATTCTTTGCACGACAGCATCACCCAGATCATCAATTCGTTTAACTCGAAGTAGTCTCGACACCAACTATACCTGCAAGATATGCGGCCATAGTCCTTTTCATGGCCGGTCATGTGTCTGTAACTGACAATGTTGGTCAAGATAAGGAAATTAGCCGATTGAGCACCTCTTCTCTTCCCAATCTGACGCCATTCACAACACTCTTCAGAAGATAGCCTTGCTTCAACAGAGCTGCCTATGATGGCGTTGATCTATATGTTAGTAACTTCTTCTCAGAAAGTTCTCTTGGCCTCCCATCTTAGATATACATTATACATACTCAGTGTTTGATCCTGATCGCAATTCAGTCACAGGCACCCAAATTTTGACTTCCCACCAGTAGAACTCAAGTCCACGGTAGCAAAACTGGTACGTACTTATCATCTAACATAGTGGAGCCTTTGATTTCAGCTGACTTTATCAGCTGCCAACCAAACAAGATGTCAGTGCTCTTTGCAGAGTCTAAGTGCTTTCACTTTGTCACAATCCCAATCCTTTACAGTGAAGTCGCTCTTCCAGTTCCGGAAGATCGCCAAGCTGTTCAGTACTTGATCGAGTACTAATGCGGAAGCTGCCGGGTTTCGGTGCACGAGCAGCTTGTCCGTCGTCACTTGCAACTCCTATGAACCTGTCATTGGAGATTCGAATTCGGAACTGACGCCGAGCGAGAGGATGGACGACGGAGACGGTAGCATTCAGCCTCACAAGAAGAATAGATTCTCTCTGATCGCAGAACACCTCTCATTGGTCTTGAAGGCTCTGCTAGCTCGCCTGTCCAAAGCACAACGTCTTCGCACTTCAGGTGAGTGCAGACCAGTTGTGTCGCCCAAACAACATAGTACTAATCCCCATAGTTTTATTTTCATTGGTTGCCACTGAGAACAACCTCCACTGAACTGCTGTTTCGGGACCATCACCCTCCAGACCCATGAATGGAGACGAAGCCGCCTGTGTATTCTGAAACAAATTTCTGGTGAATTATCCACCCCCGAATCTTTATTGCTTCAGCTGCAAATTTCTTCGCTCAACCAAAATCCCGAACCCACCATGAAATTTTCTGCCAAGACGTGCTTCATCAAAGGCTGCATAGTCCCAGAGTCGGCGACCTGGCGAGCAACACGCCTTGTACGGGTGGGGCAAAACACGATACAGGTCTGTCTTTGTAGTCGTTGAGTAAGGCTTATGTGGAACTTCTGAAAGTTCGCCAATCACCTGCGTTACGATCACTGTAGCCGATTGCAACACCATCAAGGGTCATCACGATGCCAATAATGTTCAAAGCTCTACGACCTTTGGCACTGATTTCCTTACCTTGTGCAGCCAAGCTCTTCAGTACTTATCCAACGCTTCTACGCAATCTTTTGGATTTCGGCTACCCGGACTGAGAGAGTTCTTCTACCGGAGCAGCAAAAATTACGGTTCACATCTCGCGGATGTTACTAAATTGTTGCCTTCGTTTGCTGGCCTTGAACTGATCCCTGTCCTCTGTGAAAGTGAAAGTATGGGCCCTGCGAGCAATCAATTCCTCAGACCAATCATTCTTGCTTATGGAACAGGTTTAGAGGTCATTCTTTGGCAAATCAGACTCCCTAGAATTGTTCGTGGTCAGGATTATGAATATTCCGCGTTGCAGAGCGATCAATTCGAGTACATTCAAAAGCGTTGCCCTGCCTTGAAGCAGATCGGCATGCTCATACAATGACCTCAGGGATATCGTATAAGTGAATGGTGATCTCATTCTAGCATTAGGATGAGCAACTGCTAGACCAAGACACTACAGACCAATGTTCACTTCCCTCGAGATGCCAAAGCTTACAACGGTCCATATTCATAATACACCTGAAGTGGATGACGGAACGGATGTAGAACATGACAATTTGCGATTCATACCAGACGGAACTACGGTCCTTCTTTGATCAGACGGAGAAATGGTTTCTTGTACCGACAGACAGTCGCCCCTGAAGTGTCAAGTGGTAGGTCCATTCAGTGATCATTTACTCCAACGCAGTCATTACACCACTGGTATGTCATGCTTGAGCGCTAGGGCGCCGACGATATTCAGCATGTATGGTATGCAGCTGACCTCGAGTGAGTTACCGGTTTTGGCTGGAGCAGCGGAAGTATCGGAACCTGAAAGAGCTGCAATGCACAAAATGACAATTTGAGAATTATTGGCTCTACATTGGATTTGCTAGGGTGTGCTGGCATAGGTACAAGCCTAAGAGATCTAACGTCGAGGTTGATGGGACTAGCCACCAAACCTGACCCGATGCGAAGAAGCTATGCGACGACTGGGTCTCACTTGCTTTCCAAGTCCAAGTCGCGTCAAACACTGATATTCTCTGTCTATTACTTCTTAGAGCTTTGAGCAGGGGTCCACTGGTGTTGAGCTATGGTTTTGCGTTAGATATAGGAAGCATCTTGCATCATGATGTCCGAGCAACATTCTGCCGGCAATTGAGCCTCATTCCCAAACTTAGCTAGATATCAATACGAATGCTTCAAAGTGGTATGCATATTAGAAGTGCCCAGGTGAAAATGTCATTCGTGCTACAAGCCGCGATGCGTTGGCTGAAAAGTTCGTGATATTCCTTTCTTAACCTGTCTAGCCAAACACTGAGGAATACCTTCAAAACAGCATTTCTCTTCTCACCTTTTTATTCCCAATCGCTGCGCAAGAAGAGATTTTGGCGGAATAGAGAGGATAGTACACTATACGGTCTGGGTGCAGCCTCGGTCATCTATACCTGCTGCCGATACCCAAGAAGGCTCGCTGCTAATGTCGATCTCAAGTACCAACCCTACGGCTGTATCTTGTGCTTTCTCGGCCCATACTGGAGACAATCGTTGATCGGCGCTAGCTTGCTCGTCTTGAGTGACTTGCTGGCAGTGGATAGACATGTCGAGGCTTTTTTGGGGGCAATCTCTCAGTAGAAGGCTCTGTTTGCGACTTAGCACCATAATAGCAGTTGAGCGCACTGTTGCTTTATGAATGAGGAGCCGGAAGTTGTTGTAAGGATATCATTATGTTGTCAGCTGGCGTGCTGAGGGTTGATGGATAGTAGGTTAATGCCAGGCATAAGTCAGAACCAGAAAGCCTTGACCAAGCTCCTTCGCTCTGTATAAGGGAATGATTGTCGGGACAGTACGCTCCTTCAACCAGGTCCTTGACCGTTCCCTGCCGGCTTTTCCGCTTCCAATAGCTTCCTCTTCTCCTTTTCCCTCTGTGCCTTCTTCAACTTCTCCAGTACTGATTGCTCGAAGCTCGAACCATTTCTCGGCGACTGTTTAGCATCGGGGCCCGTGGGCCCCTCTGAAAGACTTGTCTTCGTCGAAAACGTGAAGTTTGGCACCTTCTTGTGATCCCTGAAGCCATCGCGGTCTTTTGCCTTCTTCAGGCGCTCTCGCGCCTCTTTTTCGTCTACTAGCCTCTCCTCCTCCTCAAGCCTCTCCCGTTCTTTACTCTCCATCATCGCTTCCTTCTTGCGCCTATTCTCCTCCGAGATCCTCCTAATCTCCCTTTCAAGCTTTTGTTCTGGACTCTCCTCTTCCCCAGTCCTACTTCTCTTCACGCCCATCACTCCCACCCCGCCCGGGTACTTTGCATCCCTCTCCCTTCTCTCCAACTCACTAACCATCTTCCGCCTTCCCGCATCCAACTTTTCGGTCTCTGCCTGCCTTCGCTCCTTTGCCTCCCTCGTCTGATCGTACAGTGCACGGATCTTTGGGTCTGATAGGACATCATGCGCGATCTTGACAAGCAGGAATTTCTCAACATTCTCCGGCGTAGAGCCGACTTTATCCGGGTGGTATTTCAGAGATGTCTTGCGAAAAGCGGATCGGATCTCTGACTCGGTGGCTGTAGGTGGGAGGGACAAGAGAGAGTAGAAATCGATAGATGAGGTTGCATGTGTAGATAGGTCGTCGTTAGAAGGCATGGCGATTTGGCTGAAAGTGAGAGATGGAATACCAAGTCTACTGCTTGTGTGTCACAAGTGGGGTAGCGATATAATACAGGTGCATCAGCATAACCATGGAGTTGTTCTAGCTGCCGTGTTTGAGATTGTCTTCGGAAAGATGGACAAATCCTTCATAGTGTGAAGGGGGTCACACGATCACAACATTTAGAGTTTTATTTTGATTGTGTTATTGAGAAGACTCTTGGATGCCACTCCAGTACACTACACTCCACACCGGCTGGACCGTTTGAACAATGGTTGGCAAGACCCTACTTCCACGGCTTCACTTCGTTACGAGTGACACAACATCTAATCCTCGCCTCCCTTAGAATACGAACCCTCACGTCCTTCTCGTCAACAGGAAAATGATAGGGCGCTTCGAAAATGCAAGACAAAATGCTCTTTGAGCCTGAGCATGGAAACTAATTCATAATTGGCAACAAAGGAAAGTTCTTCCCAGGGCTCACTTCCTATTCAGCAGCTGAAGTGATGGAGTTCTGTGCTCGCGGCGTCTCAGACAGAGGCTCTGCTCGAACGAAGCCTTTTGGAAGAATTGACATGAGGTATCTGACGCTACACCTGTCCGTCTGATTCGAAGTTTGCAACGCGTCCAAGGTCGCTTCATCGTCCCACATTTGATCTGAAGACAAGCGTCCAGTCCCTTTCTGGGCACCTACCATCCTGAGCTTGTCGGTCAAGCTGACCGGATATTGTTTTGGCCCAGTACTTCCATCCTTATTGAAGTATCCGACACTCTGAAACACGCTCCTGCTGACATGTACAGGTACTAGCTCCATGGGCGTAGCCCTGTGAGCGATCTCTGAAAAGTAGAACGTGCCTAAAGTGTCCACCTCCTCTCTTGTTTCTTGTTCTTGCGCCGGCTCCTACTCTTGCTCCTGACCGCGTACATGATTGCCAACTGCGGCGTTTATTGATGTGATTGCGTACGGTGTTATGGGCCTGATGGCTTGTTCCATTGGTGCATCCTCCATACCATACTCAGCCCTCACCTACTTCCCTATGATTCATTTCGCATTGAAAGACACACCCAAGCTCATCACCGCTACGACGAAATGAGAAATAAGGATTTTTGCTCCCGAAAAATGTAGTCCTAGTGAATGTGTACCTTTCCATTCCTGGAAAGGAAAATGCTGGCGGTGAGATTGGTCCACGACACGCATCACACCCGGCGTGACAGTACCATGACTCCATCAACAACGGCGTCAATAGCGCATCTTTGTTCTATCTTCCGCCTAGTCGGTGGGACAGTCCTAGATGATGAAGAGAACGTTGGAACAACAACTTCCATGGCAAGTTCATTCGCGGTATAGATGGCGTCCTGCAATGTTTCGGATCCGAATTCTTTCTTCAGGGAGACTTTCAGCCTTTGCTGCTGTTGTGTTCTGTCGTGTCTTGATTTTAGGTATGTGTTCTGTGGAGGTCTCATTTCCGCCCTCCCCTCGACGGCCCTCCTCTCACCATCACCACTCCTATGACCCGTCCCCATTAGTCAGTTTCCCGCCATCTCATTGATCGTACACTCCGGTGCGGCTGACAACTCCGAACCCTTTCTGGACTTGAGCCTGAAATTTGTAGTTCGAGCATGCCCAGTTGCGCGTCTTCTGCACGACCGAAAATAGATAAAAGCGAATGCTACCATCATGATCGTTGCCACACCTAGTCCAGCGCTGAGTCCTGCTGCTAGACCCGTATTCGATTGACCATGGTGAATCAGGTGCAAGAGACGAGTTTTGCCAATAGCACGTAGCTGAGACCTGGGAACGATTAGCCAGCAAGAACGATTAAAAGAGCGTGGTTGAGACTGAAGGAAAGCGAATCATGTTGCCAATGACCGGTGTTCGTGTGTGTAGGAAGCACGATGCTCGATGCCTTGATATGGCTCGATATGTCCGTAAAAATTGTGGGAATGCCGCATGGTGAAACTTGAAATTTTAAATGCCATTATCAGTTACTCCTTCTTACAAGGTTGGAAGCATTGCCACATCCGCTGTCGGACTGGAAGCATCCAACCGTGGTCTCACAACTCGCTCCGACATGTCTACGCAAGGCTAAAACTTCGAGGATGCTCATGATGGTATCAAGGAGCTGTAAGAGTGGGTATCGTTTTTCAAGTGAGGATGCCATTCCCCAATTTTCTTTCTGTCATTGGTGTGGAGTTACCTTGATGAATAAAGGTGCAATCACCTAGAGCACCTTTGCGACGCTTTGAAGAACAATCCTTGTGTCTATTGGCGCATGGGATTCATTGACTTAAGCTGGGCTGGATAGGGGAGAACGATCGCAAGCCCAAATAGTACGAGGTATACTTCATTGAATTCAGGCTCTAAAAGCGACATTAAATCTGTTAACGCACCTCGGCCCGGAGGCCCGAGGCCCGAGGCCCGGTGAAACAATTAGTGTCGCACTTGGCACGGTATAACTGACGAAATAAATGAGAGTTAAGACAAAATAGATCACCCTATGTTCCATGCCAGCTAATATGTCATCAGAAATCATGCCAAGAGAGTCGCCAATTCAAGTTGTTTCACCGGGCCTCAGCCCGAGCCTTATAATCCGGCCCCGAAAGCTCTCCCACAATGCCCATACTTGATCCTCCAATCTAGGAATCTTCCTGTGGTGATATACCCTTCTCTCTGTAGAGGCAGTACTGCTCCTAAGGTAAGAATACCTACAGGCATTGTCCTGTGGATTTGGTAAATAGTATACGACATGGCACTCCATCCTACCGCTTCCTTCCCAACTCCGGCTGAGCTAGCTTTAGCACTCCTTGTGCTCAAATCGAAGCCAGTCGAGTCGTCTTTAGAAGGTGCTCAGGCTTGTGTGACCTTTGCGATCGTGGACTAAATCTCTCCGCTCGCAGATTATATCTACAGCCTGCGGCGTTGTATCTGCCCTGGAGGTCGAACCCCCCGAGGGCGCCTTGACAGCTGTGCGTTCTGGAGGCAGGCCTACGAGAAATCAGAAGTGGCTCATAGTGATCTTCTCAACAAGCATCATGAGCTTGAACAACAGATTGAACAGCTGCGCGGTGACCTGCGCCAGTCGAGAGCAGATCATGCGCAGGCTGGGCTAAAGAGGAAAAGAAGTGTGAATCAAGCGACGAAACAGAGCACCAATTGCAAGCCCACCTCCGCAGATGCAGACACGGGTGGAACGCAACGACTAGGTAGAGGCTTAGAAGGTACGAATGCAGATCTCGACAGCAACGACGACCTGGGTGGATGTAAGTTGCTTCGCAAGTCCCTGGCACTTCGCTGACCATGATCGCCGCATCAGCCGCTCTTGCCAGAAACCTCATTGCTCTTCGACGACTCCTTTCTGCGCGAAGGTTAGACAGCAATGCTCTTGCAAAAAGCCTCAGCAGAACATGTGCAGCAGCAGATGTATCGCTGTCTGAGCCAATCAGAGCCATTTCTCTCGGATCGGCCAAAGTCGCAAAAGCTAAGGAGGTAGGTGAAGCTACATTAGCGGGTCTCATCAAGACCTCTCGTGCTTTGCGCCTTTGCTATCCAAGTTTGCTTCGAGCCGTGGAGAGGCTGTCTACCCAGGAGAGTACCCACCAGTGCTCTGTCTATGCCGTCGTTCAGCTGTTCCAAGAAATACTAGGCCATCTCCACGACATTGCGGCATTAGCAGCAGCCAGAACTCTCGACGGCTGCGGGTCTCTTAAGCAGAACAAGACACGCACCGTCAAGCAGCAACCCATGGCGACGCTAGATTTCGGTGAAATATGCAGGTCTTTAGCCAAGCTAGCCATGTGTTTTTTCGAATCGCTTGATCTGGCCCTACCTTCACACAACAAAATTCTGGAAGGCCTAATCTGCGTGTTCCTGGATCATTTGGGCTCATCACTCTCTTTGAGCATTTTTGCTGATGTGGAATCTCCTGCGTCTAAATCTGCCCACCTTGGCCTCCTTCCACCTTGCGGTCTTCTGGACACGTTTGGCGTGGACCAAGAAACTGCAATCTGCACAGTGCAGCATGAGGCCAGGTATCTTGTCACCATCCTTCGCCAAGTTATGCTCATTATTGACAAGCAACAATCTCTCATACTATCTAACTCTGTTTCGCTCCTCAGCTTGCGAAAGTCTCTCACCATAAGCAACAATACTTTCGCTACCAAAATTCGAAACAAGTTGCAGCACACACTTCTTCGGGGTGTTTTCGGCGATAATGATGAGTCGTTCAAGGAGGCAATCCGAAGACCTGACACGAAGATTGTTGACGACGATGTGGATGTCACATGCAATGGACGAGAAGAAGTTGGAGAGTGGTTCGTAGGGGAGGTGTGGGCGCTTGTAGGGTGGGATAGTTTGCTGGGATAGGGAAGGTCATCTGTTTGGTCTTGCACCTATCTCTATGCTTCATGTAAGGCGTGCATGCCGTTTTTGCCGCCTCGAACTCATATTTCTAGACCAAGAATTTTGATAGCATTTCCTCCTAGTATACCTTCTACGATATCCTCATTCTTTTCAAATGCTCCTGGGATTGCGGCGTAGTTCGTACCTACGCTTGGCCATGCATCCGACTCTGCTCCTAAAGGTGGGAAGAAAGGATGATCTGTTCCGAATATAACCCTTTCGACACTGCCAGCATCCACTGCTGCTTTGAGTCCAGGCTCTCCATATATCACAGCATCCAGATAGATGTTCGTCTTGAGTATCTCCCAGATATCCCTTTTCGGCCCTTGTTTGCATCCGCCGTTGGCAATGAACTCTCGCTCATGCTCGACGCAAGATTGAAGGCGCCCAGCTAGGAAGGGTAGCGTCCCTCCCGAATGTGCAAGAAGCATTTTCAGATTGGGAAAACGATCAAAGACACCAGCCAGAAACATGCGTGAGACAGCAATTGTGGTCTCAAGGGGAAAGCCCAGCGCTAATGGCAAGACATGACCAGACTTCGCAACGACTTCTGGGCCGCCAAACGCCGTCTCGGGAAGACCGTAGTGCGGATGTAAAAAGACCATCGTCTCCGTATCCTGTAAGGCTTGCCAGATCGGGTTCAGAGCTGGATCATCCAAGCCTAACCCAAGACCGGTGGTTCCCATAATGACGCCCCTAAGGTGACGCAGGGTTTTCAGTCTAATTATTTCGGCACGATTGTCGTCTGCCGAGGCCGAAAGAGGAAGTGTGCCGAATGCGAAGAGTTTACAGATCGAACTTGACGCCTCTTTGTTGAACTCGAGACATGCCTTTTCGAGATCATCGTTGACCGTCTTTGCCCATTTCGGCGATTCTGAGCTAGGAAGAAAGTCTAGCCAAGGATTGGCCAGAGACACGACCGAGACATTGATGCCATGTAAGGTCATGAAAGTGCGCTTGATTTCCCAGGACGAGTACGAAGCATCTATGGGTCGTCCTCGATTCTGAACCGGCTTTGACTGGTCATCGTCTGAAGGGAGAATGATGAGCCGTGGATCGCCTGCCGTAGGTTTGTGAATATAAGGAACTTGGTCTCGAGAAGCAAGGAGCTCGATATAGGATGGTGGGTAGATATGTGTGTGGATATCCACCACGACATGCTTGTTAGAGATCATGGTGGAAGCCCTGCAATCAGAACGCTTCAGTGGCAACGGCGTTGAGAGCTGAGTAGCCTAATTTATTTCCTGTTACGACAAAAGAAGGTTACGTTAAGTACAAGAGTCTAGCCAATCAAATGGTGCGTTGGCCTTCAGTCCTCATCACCCCACTTTCATCCACCGCGGCGGTCGAATTGGCTAAGGCAGATAAGTATCGCAACATAGTCGATCATGATTTCAGAGAACAACTAAGCCTAAAATCCACATGCACTGCAATTATCTTCACCTCAACAGCTATTATTCGTGAATTGGAATCGTGGAGCTAGTGCCCCAGTCCCGCCCATTTTGCCCCTGAACTAGGCGGCTAGGCATACTCTTTGGAGTCGATCATGGTGGTGACAACCATTGGAGTGGAGAAAGATGATCTGGTCATTCCTGTAGGGAAGAAAATTTACTCAAACCTTCACAACTTGACACGATGGTAGATTGTTGACTTTTCCAACTTCGTCCATGGTTCGGCCGCTGCCAAATTAGCAGCCGGGGAATCAATATATCACGCTTTCAAGACCTCTGGATTCGTTTACCTACGTAACCATGGCATTCCATCAGGAACCGTGTCAGACGTCTTTGCCAGATCAGCAGAGTTCTTCAAACGGCCTCAAGAGCAAAAAGACAGTTTGGCATGGACCACTCCAGAAAGTAACAGGGGATATGTGACTTTTGGGAGGGAAAAGGTCACGCAGTCGTCTGATATCAGAGAAGTATCCAAGCTTCGTGCGAGCAATCCTGATTTGAAAGAGTCCATGGAGATTGGAAAGGAAGGCGTCCCAGATCAACCTAATCTATGGCCAGAAGAGATGGATGTCGAAGGTAAAGTGTTCACAACTACCATGAAGTCGTTTTTCTTGACATGCAACGAGCTCCATGTCAATCTGATGAGGGCGATTGCGTTGGGAATGGGGTTGGACGAAAACTTCTTCGATTCATTCACTAGTGGTGCTGATAATACTCTGAGATTACTGCATTACCCACAAGTGCTCAAGAGCGTTTTCAAAGACAATCCAGACCAAGTTCGGGCCGGTGAACACAGTGATTACGGTTCTATTACGCTTCTTTTTCAAGACGATGTCGGGGGCTTAGAGGTCAAGACCCCCCAGAATACGTTCGTGCGAGCCAAGCCGATTGATGGTACCGTGGTGATCAACGCCGGAGATCTCCTCAGCAGATGGAGCAATGATGAGATTAAGTCGACAAACCATAGGGTAGTGCAACCTCCTGCACAAGAAAAGGATGAATTGGAAATGTACCCTGCGAGGTACTCCATCGCCTACTTTTGTAATCCAAATTTCGAAAGCACTATCGAGGCATTGCCTGGAACATGGGAGGAATTGCCCGAGGGAAAGAAGTATCCTGCGGTGAACAGTGGTGACTATCTTGTACAAAGGTTGACAGCTACATATTGATCAAAATATGAGGAAAAGGGGCTCGCGTATTGGCAGATTTGGTCAATTACCTTTCTTTAGCCCAATATGCTTTGTACATGTGCTCTAGAAATAAGATCAGTATGACGAGGGGAACACTCCTAGCCTTCCACCATCGGAAACAACAACGTTGCCGCTGATATAAGCTCCAGCTTTGCTGCAGAGCCACAGGATGACGCCTGCAATATCCTCCTCATGCCCTGACCTCGTTGCTGGGATGATATTGCGGTCAAATTTGCTCTCTTCATGGCCATTCTCTATTTCCAAGTGCTGGAATGCTGGTGCTGACATTTCGCTATAAAACAGACCTGGTGCAATCACATTGCAGCGTATGTCAAATTTACCCAACAACGTTGCCATGCTTTTCATCAGGTGCACGACACCGGCTTTGGAAGCCGTGTAAGCAAAGCCACCCAGAGGTACTCGGTTGAAGGCTCCGATAGAGCTGGTAGTGATAATCTGAGGTCGGGGCAAAGTGGACGGGGCAGGTCGCATCTTGTTCGTAGCCTCGAGCAGGGGCATGAATGCGAGACAGCTGTACCATACGCCGGTGATGTTCACCATGTTGGCCTGCTCAAATTCCTCCATAGGGACATTCCAGCAGAATTCACGAATCTCGGCTAGGGTTGCAGGACTACCATCTTCCTTGGGTGGAGGAAATGAACGTGGGCCTGAGCTGCCTGAGTTGCAGATGAGTACATCGAGATGATCTGAATCCGTCGAGACCTGGTCCACGATTTTCTGTAAACTTTCTTTGGAGGTCACATCGCCGACGAGGGGGACGATGTTTCCATTTCTCCCAGTCGCGGCAGTCTGCTTGAGCTGTTCCTCCCTTCGTCCTACTATGAAGACTCTGGAAGCTCCGTTGGCATCAAGAGCTCTTGCCATCATTGCCCCGAGACCTGAAGACAGAATCTTTTAGCACCACGACCTGGCAAAGCGCGATATCTTGGGAAAGACGGCCAAATCAAATTTGAGTGGTTTCTGGGATGTGTACTGACCACTCCCACCGCCAGTGATGACAGCAATGAGCCCTTTGACATTAAAGAGGCTCTTGACATCGACGTCAGGCGTTTGGAAGGCCATGACTGGAGCGAAAGCAGAGATTGCTAAGGAAAGCAGGATGCAAAATAACTGTCGCTAGTCGTTTGGTATTTGGAGGATCTGCCCACTGCATACTTAGTAAGCTGGATCGGGACCGGACATGATGATGCATATCCGCCATTATTAAGCACTTCGCAGGCAGAGAATGGGGAGTTGCTAGCAATACCCAGGAACATCTACCGACAAAGCAATGATAATACAGTACCGGTGACTACTCCGTACTCCGTACAACTACTACCCAGTATTACTGTAGTTACTACCAAAAGTTCGCCAAGGTTTATAGCCAAGGCGCCATACTAACTTAGTAAGTAGTAAGTAGTAGCAAGTAGTATGGAGCTGTCCATTCCACCAAGACATTGAGTCCTCCTGTAAGACCTCGAACAAACAGGACCACAGATTTTGGGAGCCATCTTTCACGCAATGACGATCAATACTGGCGTAGCCATGTCCTTGGTCCCTGGATGAGTGGGTGTCCGTCCTATCTTCAAAGATGCGCGCAGAATGATCCTATCTGAGGAGCGCATTCTCCTGTTGCAAGATCCAGTACCTGACGATTTGAACGATTGGCCCGATTTCACCCTGACTGACGCAAAAATACGGGTTGCTGGAAGCTCGAACTACGCCAATCTGCTCGAAGCCAACCCCGGTTATCCGCTCTCTGTGACTGGCAGATTATCTCGCTTGGATAACCAGCGAGCGAAGCTCGGTATTTGGAGTCGCATCTCTTGCAAGCTCTACCATCGCTGATAATCACCTTCAACAGTTATACATCCCAGATACACCCAGGTTCAGCTCAGGATTGATAATTGTACCCAGTACGCTTTTGGTCAAGATCCGTCAGGCAAGTCAGTGATCTGGGCTGGTGGCAAGGCGGGTTGGTACGAGATCGTCCCCTCTACCAAATACACAGCAATATACGAAGAAATAGTCAAGGCGATCGACCTGATATACTTTTTGAGCGATACCCATCAGACATTCGCCTCCAGACGACCAATACGGGGAGCAAAAGTTGAAGAGCTACTGGTCCTGTACCAGCAGCACACAGATTATCGAGTCGATGACAATGCTGAAGCCGAAGCCATTTTCGAAAAGTACCACTCGTTCTTGATTAGACAAATGTTGGAAGGCTGGGAGGGCATCAATTGGGCGCGGACTCATCTCTGGAGCTACTTTTCGAGGTTGTACCCAGACGAGGTTGCTCATGACCCGGTGACAGAATCTGAAGAGGATGAAGAGCAGAACGAGAATCCCTCGACTTCGGAAGATGAGCAACTGGGGTCTCCTCCTTTCTCGAGTAATGACGAAGACCACGAAAAGGGTTGGGCTGATGCAATCTTTAAGGAGATAATGCATTTAAAAGCAGATGGGCACATGTGTAAAAGACATTGCAGCGTCGATGGGATTGCCAAGATTCTCGTCAAACAATACAACGTGGGCTCGAAAAATGAAGCAAGTGGCATTATCAAAGATGCTGCTCAATCGCTGCTCAGGCGCCTGGATGCTGATCCTGATCAGGGCAGGAATAGAACTTGGAGCACAAAAGTGCTTTACCGACAATTGCGAAGATTAGTCAATAGCGAGCAGGAGCTGCAGGACGATGAAATTACAAGTGATATTGTTACACCTGCCAAAGCACCTGCCAGTCGCCATCATCAGAAATCCATCCTCAGACTTTCAACTGGCGCCGGAAAAGGGAAAAAAAGGATGCTGAAAGCTCAGAACCCTCCAGAGGACGATGATGAAGAGGATGGCAATGATGAAGAAGCATTGCATTCTCCACTAGTCACAGAGACACCGACGAAAAAGAGGAGGCTAGGCTCGGACTTAAGTAATTCTCTGGGACGACAGCCCACCGACGCGAGCACGATGCCCACCATCGTGAATGGTCTGGCATCTAATTTTCAATCGGAACAGCTTGATTTGATCAGAAAAGAGAGTCTCGCGAACGGTCGCTTGCACGTCAACCATTTGGAGGCACTTGTGGAAGGTTTTATGCAGGGGCGAAATTGATATATTATGATACCCAACAGAACTGGATATATGATAACATCGTGGCCGTGCTGCATTCATATTTATAAAGGGAAGACGGCGGCGAAATAGCTCCGGGCCGCGGTAGGAGATGACAGTTCGTCTCACGAGGTTGTTTTCTTTTTAAAAGGCTTTCATACAAAGGTCTTTATCACAGCCACCATGTCACAATCTCGTTCGTTAGGTCAGTAAACTTGACACAGCTCGCCTATTATGCTGTTCTAAGCCTTTCATTTCTCGCTGTTAGCGAATACTGCAATGATGTTGGTTGGTGCCAAGCAAGAGTCTCCTAAGTACGTTAGTAGTTCAACCTATTACTAAGCTCAAAATGGTAGCATAACACAGGTGAGTGAGCATCTTGTCGACCCTCCAATACGTAACTTAACTAATAATTTATCCTTCCCGCTCAACAGGGGGTCTGGGAATTCGTTGCACCACAATTTGCGCCGAAGTTCAGCCGAATTAGGCAATTGCTACTCCTATGTACAAACTCATTGCCCTATTACCACAACGACGACCTTATAGCCTTCCCATCCGAATTAGCTAGAGCTCTACATCGAGAGGGCATCTCAGCAATACGCGCTCGAACCTCCTGCATTGTGATTTTGCTCCATTCGTCTTGCAAGACCTCTTTAAGCTGATCAAGATTATCCCACTTTCGTCTTCAAATTCGCTGTTTTAGGATAGCCCAAATACCCTCAATAGGGTTCAAATCTGGCGATTATGCTGGATGAACAAGCACTGTAATCCAATTGCTATCCTTAAGCTGTTTAGCAATATTGATCTCAGACCGTGTGCCATGAGAAGGATCATTATCCTCCTGCAAAATAGCATCTTGATTTCGAGAAATTCGTGCCTTTTGAACAGCCTTAATATAGACAGGAAGTAAACGCTCTGTGTAGTATTTCTGCGTCATTGAATTGCCTTTTGGTTTTGTCTCAACTTCATGTGGCAAATTAGCCTCCTAATCAATCATTCGCTGTTTAAATTGCTCTTCTGTTTCGTATCTTCTCTTTCGCGACTTGCTAGGTCTCTTTAGAGGCTCAAGATGATCGTTTTCATCATTGTAGAACTCTAACTTTTCAGCCTTTGAATACCAATTGATCCAAGCTACAATATGAAGCTTTGCACTCTTTTTTTCAGGTAGTTCTTGTACATTTTCTGGTTCATAACAAGTGCCCTCTTCTTGTAGAATGTATTGTTGAAAGACCTCTGATGGATCTATATGAGCTTCATCTGTAAAATAGATATTGGCCTAATAGTCCTTGATGCTCTTATTTTGATGTTCCTTCCCATACTCTATACGTTTCTTTTTATTAGCATTCGAGAGTTGCTTAATTTGTACTGATTTGTAACGTCAAGCATGCTTCGTACGCCGTTGAAGATTTTGTTGGAGTGTACTAACACCACAAGAGAGTCCAAAATGCTGGATTTGATGCATATAGTTTTGATTTCGAACAGGATTTGAAGGCGAAAGAAGTTGTTGAATTTGGTTATCTGAGACATTTGGCTGTCGTCCAAGATGATTTGAGAGCTTTCGACTTCTTCGATAGGCAGGAGATCCTTGATTTCGACGTTGATTTAGCCAGTAATAAGCTGTTCGTTTGGAGATATTATGCCGCGCAGCAATAGAGGGAATTGATTCGTGCGTACGTATGTCAACCGCTTCAAAAAAGCGAGATTTCTTGACAGTATTAGCCTCTCTGTGCTTTAAAGCCTTTTGAGGAGTTGTAGGAGCACTCATCTTGCTAAATTGATTGAATGAAGACGTGTAGAAACAGGTCGTTTGAGCTGTTTACTTAATTCGGCTAAATTTCGGCGCAAATTGTGGTGCAACGAATTCCCAGACCCCCTGTTGCGCTGAATCCTTTCAAGTTTCGACTTCGCTGATAAGCTTGGCACAATATCGTTAACCCAATGATTAAGATGGCAGAAAGCGCCAGCAAGATCCTTGAGGGTGTCTTCGGTGAGGCCAATTCCTCACTCAAGGCCTTCTGTTACAGTTCCTGACATAAGAGTTCCGCAAGCGATCAACAAACCGCTCCATCTTTCCTCCGCCCAAGTCCTGCGTGATCTGCAGGAGCACTTTCGCTCCTCCGTCTTCTTTGCACCGCTTTTGCATTGGCAGTCGAAACAGGCTTTACAGGATGTCAATAAGTCCAGGCGGAAAAGACGTGCTGCTGCTGAAAACATCAAAATCGGGCACGGCGGCACATTAGATCCACAGGCGACAGGCATTTTGGTGGTTGGTGTAGGGAAGGGCACAAAACAAATGAACAGTTTCCTTGGCTGCTCGAAAACCTATGAGACTACTGTGTTGTTCGGAAGGAGCACTGATACCTACGATGTGGCAGGGAAGGTTACCGCTTCGGCATCGCACTCACATGTGACCAGGGCCTTGGTGGAAGAAAAGCTTGCTTCTTTTCGAGGAAAAATCAAGCAGGTGCCACCCATTTACAGTGCGCTGAAAATCAACGGAATGAAAGCATATGAGTATGCAAGGACAGGGAAAGCACTGCCACGAGAGCTACAATCTCGCGACCTGGAAGTGGAGCAGTGTGAAATAGTCGAATGGCTTGAAGGAGGTACACATGAATATCGTTGGCCTGCTACGGAGGCGTCTGAGGAACTCAAGCAGGTGGCTACAACGATGATGTCGGCTGCGCAGAACGAAATTCAAGGGCCTGAAAGTTTGCAAAAGAGAAAGCGGTCAGACACAATGAATGAGGACGAAACCGATAATGGCAGCATCGTCAAGAAACAAAGGACAGTTTCTAGGGGAGCCACCCTCGACTTAGGTCCAAAGTCAATGTTTGGAGATGCAGAGTCGAAACGTAAGAGCCTGATCCAGGAATCTTCACGGACTTCCTATACGTTGATCCACGAAGGAATGACGGCCGATGAGAAGGCTAAACTACATACACACGAATTGAGACCGCTATCATCAGAGGTTTGTCTGGCGCCTGCTGCACGAATCCGTGTAACTGCTTCAAGCGGTTTCTACGTCCGCTCTTTTGCTCACGACCTTGGTATGGCCTGCAGCTCACTTGCACTGATGGCGACCTTGTTCAGAAGCAGACAAGCAGAGTTTGATGTCAAGTCAGCGCTCACGTATCAGGATCTCGAAAACGGCGAGAACGTTTGGGGTCCAAAATTGCAGAGCATGCTCGAGAATTGGAATGCGCGACATCCTGAGGAATCAAGAACTGACAGAAGGGACATGTCGGAAAATTTCCGGACACCATCCTGGGAACAAGGGGGTGATCAAGGGCAGAGAGCAGATACAAGTATGGTTAAGAAGAACGGAGCAAAGCGGACTTCTCATAGGGAGCGTAGGAATACTAGTTCTGGCGAAGATTGAGTTTCGCGGATGGCATGGGCTGTGAATAGAACCAGTGCCCTTTGCATCAAATTGACAGCAAGTGTTGAAGCCACTGGCTGCTCTACCGTAGAATTGGTTGGCTATGGTGGCCTCGCCGCGGGATATTGCAGACCAATGCTTCGGTTATGTCGGAGTGATGTTGGCTAACTTAGGGCTGAATGAAATCCACCGAGCAAACCGGTTTCATGCTGATCAGGCATAACTACGTAGTACCAACGGCGCCTACTACATTAGTGACCCGAAACATACCCATGATCACTGGACTTAATTAGAGCAATTGGATTCAGCCTCTAAGCCACGATTTACCTGCTAGAAAGGTGTCATAACACCCTTGGCACTGCATCGTCCATTGATCAAATAGCAAGCAACTTTGTATTGCATGCGCTGGGATGACTTCATCTACAACACGCGGTCTCCACACCTGTCCAGATAGGGCTTTCCTCATGATTCCAAAGTATCCTCTCTTCTTGGAGACAATTGCAGAGCAAAACTACATGCTGTCATGCCCGAGATCACGCACCCCGTCGGTCAGACCAGACTGTCCCCAATTGCCTCGAGCCCCATTACCTCACCTTCGGATAGCACGGATGTGAAGCTGCAATCATCTAGCAATCCCGGAGACACTGCCATAGGTACAGATATCCATCTAAGCTTCATCGCGCAAGCGACAATGGTAGCCTGGAATCCCGAGGCGAGTAAATAGCATGCTGATTTCTGTGTTCAGTAGATACCAAAGTCAAAGCGCACAGCGGCCATGTCATTCAGACACCTGAAGTCGTTTCCAGTCCTCAGACGACTTTTGCCATACCACCTCCGCAAATAGAGACAGAAAAAGGGACAAGCGTAGCGATTGACCCTATATCTCGAGTTCGTGATCGCTCTTTCCGCTTTCACCATTCAGAAACTGATTGAACCTCCTAAGCAAATCTTTGAAAGAACAAAACCTCACCAAAACCCACCACGGAACCTACCGCCGACTTCCTCTGATGCCAGCCTCGGCGCATCCCAACAGTCTCCTGATAGCTCAGGTACAGCAGATGTCACAGAGCCAGTAAGCTTGCGCAGACAAGAGAGCGTGAATTCTGTGAACAAGGGACCAAAGGACAAAAAGTGAGTCTACCCTCCGCTTTTATCACAATTGTAGCAGGCACTTTCTTCGCAGCAACCCTAAGGTCTCACTTTTCGGCCTGCTCCCTCAACCTCATATGCCACTTTCGTTGCTATAAGCGGCTGCTAAGAGAGTGCCTCATCTAGGAAGGGTGTATCGCTTTTTAGCCGATTTATTGGCAGCAAAAAGAAAGATTCTTTACCGCCTATTCGCAATGAAACAGCATCTATTACTGGGGGACTATCTACAGATGCGGAAGCGGAAGTGTTCTCCCAACCAATTGGTTTTGTGCCTCGATTTCCTGCTCCTCCTCGATACATTAAAGTAAGGGCAAACAACCGGAGGCACAAGGAGTTCGAGCGGGTCTTTCTAGCGCAGGTTCTGCTCGAGCGAAGTCAGAAATCTAGAAGGAAGACCTCTGGAGATGAGGAGATTGTGCATGTTGACGAGGCTCCTGCTGTTCCAGGGCAACCATTTAACAGGGCGATCTGGGCCATGGAATTTTCCAAAGATGGACGCTACCTGGCTGCTGCAGGACAGGATAAGAAGATCCGTGTTTGGGCGGTGATCTCGTCAGCCGAAGACCGGGAGGCGCATGAAGCAGAAGAAGAGGAGAAGAATCCTGAGCAACCTGCCGTCAGGTTGAATGCGCCTGTACTAAGGACACAGCTCATTAGAGAATATCATGGTCACACTTCCAGCATACTGGATCTCTGCTGGAGCAAGAACAATTTTCTACTTTCTTCCTCTATGGACAAAACAGTCAGATTGTGGCATGTGACTCGAAGCGAGTGCCTTTGCGCTTTCCGACATCACGACTTCGTCACATCAATTGCATTCCATCCACGGGACGATCGGTTCTTCTTGGCAGGCTCGTTGGACTCGAAGCTAAGGTTATGGAGCATACCAGACAAGGCTGTAGCATACTGGGCAAATGTTCCGGACATGGTGACAGCGGTAGCATTCACGCCAGATGGGAAGACTTGCATCGCAGGATGCTTGAATGGTCTGTGCCTTTTCTACGACACGGAAAAGTTGAGGCTTCATTCACAACTCCACGTCAGATCAGCTCGAGGTCGAAATGCTAAGGGTAGTAAGATCACAGGTATTGATACAATCACGCTTCCACCAGGGGATCCTAACGGAGACGTCAAATTGTTGATTACCAGCAACGACTCGCGTGTACGAATGTATAATTACAAGGACCGTAATCTCGAGATCAAGTTCAGAGGGAATGAGAATACCTGCAGTCAGATCCATGCAACCTTCAGTGATGATGGACGACATGTTATTTGTGGTAGCGAAGACAAAAAGGTGTACATATGGCCAACCGGACCAATCGAGAAACAAGATCAGGACAAGCGCCCAGTGGAGATTCTGGAGGCGCATACAGCAATCGTCACGTCTGCTATTCTAGCTCCAACCAAGACTCGACAGCATCTCGCACAATCTGGAGATCCAATTTACGATCTTTGCAATCCACCGCCCGTGACATTGGTGGGAAATGACTCTGTCCTCTCGTCGCGAGCTCAGACAGAAAGCAATCCGTCGATAAAAGACGGGGCTACGGCTTCAATTCAACAGACAGCCAATCGTAGTCAAAGAGCGGAGGAAACACCTGCCTATTTGGCTCGTCATGCACATCCTAGTGGCAATATCATTGTGACCGCCGACTATTTGGGACAGATCAAGGTATTTCGGCAAGACTGCGCCTTTCAGAAGCGTCGTTACGAACTCTTCGACAGCTCATCTCTGTTTTCCAGGAACCGTCTTCTTGGCCGGAATGGTTCACCAACCGCTCGTAGTAGTCTGTCTTCGGCACGAAACTCGACGTCGTATAGCAACTTCAAGACTCCATCGACAGATCGAATCGTCAGCTGGAGAAACTCTATCACGAGCGGGCCCACCAGCCACCCTGGTACCACGATCAACGGTGATGTACATATAAACCTACAACGGACACGTAGCGATTCACCACGGAAAACCAATGCCCAGGTTTCGTCTTCTTATCATCAACTGGCGGCGAAAGCACCCTCCATCGCCACTAGTACCTCATTTCCGTCATCCCCACGGAAATCATCGGATGAGTCCATCCGCATGGCAGGCGCCGAAGTAGAAAAATTTCACACCCCACCAACTATCGAGATAGGTGCCAGTGCGCGAGAAAAACCTATAGAAAGGGAGTCAGAGGCAGGGGCCAAGGCATTAGGCCCAACCCCTGAGCATACCCTGTACATACAAGGCGACCACGGTTACCGCTATTGGAAGCCAGGGGAGCTGGTCACCATGGCTCAACGTGAGCCGAGAACACCAGGTGTCCTAAATCTGGGCGACATCAATGGCAATTCGTTGCTGCGAAAGCAGAGTTCATCCAGCAAGCTCAGCAGCGAAATTAGCTCGGATGAGACTGCAACAACTGAGGCAGATGGAGACCAGAGCAGCGAGATCAAATGTGAGAGGTGTGGTGGGAGAAGCTTTCGAGTAAAGCTAGAGGCGACCCAAGAACAAAGATTGAGTTGTAAGAGATGTGGGAATGCCGTGTGAAGAGGCAAAAGAGAACGTGAGTATACCATCGCACTATCATTCGCGCCGACGATATCTGGGAAATTGTACTTCTTGAATAATTTTGCGGATGTGAGGTTTCGGGGCCGTATATGAATCTATACATTAGATAACTGTATAGGATTGACGAAGACATCCGGCAACGCTCGATCGGAATGAGGTGGCCATGCTTTGCTTCTTCCCGGGCAAGTGCAATTGAAGTAACTCAAAGGTCAAGCCTCGGGCTCTTCGCCTAACCTGTTAACTCGGTCCAGAGCGATATCGCAAATGGCCTGTCAGTGTCGCTTAGCACGGCAATCATAGGGCTCGCTCCATGGAGCCAAAGTTTGCATACCTTGATCGCATCCAACTTCTCTTGCTCGAGATTGCCTCGCTTGATTCTTTGTCTCATGTCTTCCATAATGAGATGCCTACTTCGGCCATTGACAAATACTCTGCTGCACAGTCAGCACAAGTTCAAGGATTTAAGGCAAAAGACAAGCATGAAAGAAGAGCTGTTTGTCATCAAACATACACATATCTTAGCCCATTAAATCTTTCTTCATACTGACGATTCACCTCTGCTAATCCCTCCGCTTCCCCTTTCTCCCCTTTACCATTTTGCAGCTGCGCCTGCTCCTGCCGACTGAGTTCGCTGTCGACTTTCTTCTCTCCTAATCGTGGATGAGCTGCCAGAATGGCATCAAGCCACTCGGTGTCGCTCGTTGACAAGGAGTTTAGCAGAGATTTCAGCTGGTCTCCAATCGATGAGATGAGTGCAGCGTAGTCTGAGTAGGTGGTGCCATGGAGAGTGGAGACCGATAGAGTATGCAATTGGGTACATGGTTCAAAGAGGGTGTCCAAGATTTGGGCTCGGCGATCTGTGGAGAGAGACGGAACGGAGGATATTGAGGGAAGGGCCATTATTGTTGCTGAACCTGTATTCGAAGTACTGAAGGAAAAGGTATACGTGACTAAAGAGCACTTATGTTTAATATCGTTCCTGATATTTGGTGCATGGTGGTAGTTGAGCTCACATACATGTATGAGGTGTTCCGACATTCTACCGGTATTTAGCTGATAATGCCGGCAATACTACGGGTGAGGCCTGAAGTAGAGTTAACTCAGCGCTAGTATCTTTTCTTGTAAACCCTCTGTGTACGGAGTCGTGCTTCAAGGGTATCATTATACGCTAACTAGGAATAAGTAGAAGCTAGCCTCTCTTGAGCTAGCCTTCTATCACTAGGCGGTGGGGCATAAAGATGGTTAGAGAGGGCGGATGGCTAAAGCTTAGCTAATATAGACCTAAACGCGTCCCTCAGTGTCTCTAAGATAAGAGGGTGATAGCAGTAGCTCTAGGAATCCACCCCTATAATATATTTTCTACGCAGCTAAAGCTTAAATCGATTGTACTAGTGACGCTCTAAATTTAGCGTATATTGAAAACTTTTGAAGCACGACTCCATACAGAGTACAGAACAGCTTGTTGGAATTGGCTGAATGCGTACAGCCAAATCCTTGGTGGTCATGTGCCTGCGCGCCCTAGTAGATTAGCCTGCTCCTCCTTCTAAGATAGATTCTGCACGCAGTTAGATAGATAGAATCTCATCCATCCACTTCATCACAGCTATGCTCAGAAGAAGTTAGATGCACTGATTTAACTCATCGGAATGGATGCACACAGAACAAGCTTTAAAGTGTTGTCGTATTAAGAACTAGCTGCTATTAGCACCAGACTAACATTACTTCAGGCCCCCCCCGTAGTGGGGGCATTTCCGACACCCAGAACCTTCGAGCTCGGTCTTTGATATAACTACTCCGTACATATTGTCTTTCAAGAACAAGAACAGGGCCCAAAAACATGCCTACTAAAGTTGAATTGGAGATTCAATGTCAAATGACTCAATGTGTGTCCACTCATGAGCCGTCTCTGAGATCGTGTTCGGAGAGTGTGCCTTGATCTGGCGCGGCCTGCATGCATGAGACCCCAGGCAAGATATGTCTGTCACTCACCATAAGTGACAGGCAATGGTCCTCTGTGTGTGGTTTGCATCCATAATAAGTGGAATATTCGTCCAACCCTTTCGCCTGCATTGAGTTTGTCTTGATTTTAGCAGAGACCAGGCTGCGATCTGGATAATGTATGGAGCTCCTCTTCCTGCCTTCCCGTACCCGCGGAACCGAACTAATTAACCATCTGTTTCGAAAAGCGAAAGATGGTGGGCACTATAGCTACTCGTCATCGTCCCTGCACAGCTGTAAATGGCTTGCAAATCCCTGCTCGCAAGTCCGCATATGCCAACAACGACGGGATGTACAAGGCTACGGTTTGCTTCGATCATGTCGCATTTCTATTGGCTGGCACCACTTTATCAGCTTCGTCGAAACATACCCTTGCTTTGGCAAAGACTTTGGTGAGAGATGAACGTTTTGCGAGCTCAACAAATGGGTTGCAATTGGCTTATGCGACAAGAGAAGTCTGTGATAACATTTCCAAAGGGTATCCTAACTTCGGGGAAGAGGGCTTCATGACTGGCCAAAATTCTGCCTCACTTGTGTAGCTGCACTTCGAAAGGTGCCTGGGCCACCGATACATCCGCTACAAGCATTGGGGGTAAGTTAATAACATCAGACCGATCTTTTGGAACAACTGAATCCACTACTCAGGCACTTCAAATGGATGAATCATTGCAGTACCTTACTCATTTTATAAATGTACTTCTTCCGGGTCTGAATTGATGTATAGACCCTAGTCTCCGAAAGGGTGAGTGGGAAGTTGTTTTTGGAATTTCTGCAAGCCCCAGGATGCAAGAGTCTTCGTGCAGTCTTCTGGCTGGATCTCTACAGCCCTGGCGCAGGTCATGATTTATGTCCAGGATGCTGCAGGACAAGTGATGTATGGGTCGATCGTCTTCTTGATGCCGGGGATGTCTTTCTTTCAATGGCATTTTTTAAATTCCTAGATTACCAAATTCTTGGGCATCTGGATGTTCAATCAACATTCGTATTTAGCTACAAGGATTGGGCTTGCATACTCCCAGGTAATTCGTGGCAGGCCTCTTCATGAGCCGAGCGAATTTCAGACCAGCGGCTCTGCATCGGAGCGGCTAACAAGTAGACAATAACCAGCAAGAGCATGGCTCACTTATTCATTAGCAGCACATCGTTCGTAGCAATAGCAACAAGTTTCCCTTTTTGGCAATTCCTCTACACCGAGCTGATAAGTTTCAATCACTCCTAGCAAGGGAGCGTTTTTGATCTTGTGTCTCATGCCGGCGTACAGTGACCCAAATTTTTGGCAGCCTGGCCTGGAAGGTGTACAGATGTTGAGTCATAAACATTGGCGGGCAATGATGGTCATGCTTAACCAAGGGTCTGGGATGGGCAAGTACTCCATATCGAAAGTATGGTACTAAGTCCATGGTACCTGTGGGAGGACAACTATAGATACCATGAATGATGCTGCTAAGGACCGAATGCCTCACCAACGCCAGCGTGGTGAAGGTGAGGTGGAGATTACAAGCTGATCATTCTAATCAGCGGCAGATCGTGTTCGAAGCAGTTCCTGGCGTCCGGATCGTCACTTTTACGTAGTATGGACCCAGCAGCTAACAATTGGCTAGCTTGAAGGGGAAGATGAAGGTCCGGCGACTAAGCCCAATTAAAACTCCGTTCATTATGCCATCCCCTGACTGTGTTTTAGCTTTATAACCGCCCCAGCCCAGTCCCTGCTACCGGTACCGCTAGCAAAAGATTAGTATTGTAAGCGATCAGCAACCATCAAGATCTTCTCCAAAGATTCGCATACATTCCTCCTACGCCTTTGATAACACAAGCGATTGGTGTCTCTCTATCCTACCCAGCCACGTCATGGTGCACCTCTGAGGACTCATCCTCAATGCAGACCTGCAATGTCTCTGAATGGGCTCGATGAGGTAGCTGTCATCGAAGCATACCAAGCTGCTCTCGCGGAACCGGGCGGATGGTCAGTCATCCTGCACCATACGTTTCACCTTGTACTAATGGTTCTTCTGCTCCAGGTTTCTGTTAAAATATGTCACAAGAGACACCATCGATCTTCTGCAAAGAGGGACTGGAGGCGTTGTTGAAGTCAGGATCGCCATTGAGGCATATGAGGAGAAATCCCCGGTCTATGGCCTGGTGCAATACCGCCGGAGGAAGGTGGTGCTCAAATATGTTCCTGAAGGAACGTCGAGGCTGCTGCAGGGTACGTATCTCGAATCAGATGAGACGATTACTATACTGAATTCACAACATCAGCGCGCCTTACTGTACAATTCCAATCAATCCTCGAGAAATTCACCCCTCACGATACAGTCTTCAATTTTACCGCCGCAACCGAACTGACCGATTCCGCCCTCTCATCGGCATGTATGCTGCACACCTCGATTGCGTCTTTCAACTCTTCAACATCTTCACTCCATCGTCATCGGTTGGGGGAGATTACTGAAGATGTTGAGGAAGGAGGAGAGAGACGCAAGTCTGGGCTAAGGCATAGCATCCTGTCAGACGCAGACAGTGGCTCTAAAGAGGGGCGGAACAATGTCACATATCAAGCAACAGCTACCTCAAATTTGTCTCCAGTCTCGCACTTGCCTGATAATCACAAACCCTCCACGCCTGCCTCACTTATCTCTCCAATTCCAACCTTCGACAAATCTTTACCCGCAACTCCAGAACAGTCTCCTGGGAAGAGGCCAACCAGCAGAGCGGCCGACCATGAAGCAACAGCTGCCGGCGAAGACCTAATTCCCCCAAGATTAGAAGGTCAAAGACTAAGCTTAGATTCTCGCCGTTCATCACAATCTAAACGCCCATTAGCTCTAGACACAGATCGCGCTAACTCAGCATACAACCCCTATAAACCCAAGGCCAAACTTGGTCCACGTCCGTCAGCACAACGACCTCGGACGCCCGGCTCTAGAGGCGAAGCAAGACCTGTTGCTAATCTGCCAAACTCTATCCGGGTCTCAACCCGTCCACCGCCCGCTGCCATTCGGCCGCCTTCGTCTGCGTCTCATCGACCAATATCTCAACAGTCGAATAGAAGCGCACATTCAACTTTTGTCGCTGCCTACGACTCCACTCCTCCACCTCCGTTACCACATCCATCTGTCCACATCTCGGCTCTTTATCATCCTTCCAATACTTACTTGATCAATCGACCCGCTTCTCCTGCACTATCAGCCACCACCTCGATTGCCGCTTCAATCACTTCTAGTGCACCTCCTCGTATCACACCGGAGAAACGAAGGCTTATGAAAGCCCTACAGCTCCGCAAGAAGCAACAAATGGTCAAGACTAGTCTAATCAAGCCTTCCAGCACGGATACGCCAAGTCAAGAATCCTCAGGGAAGACGCAGATTTATCCTCCGGCCAAAAAAAATGAACACCCATCTCATGATCCGTCATCCCTGCCCAGGCTGTCTTTAACAGCGCAAAGTCGCGAGCCACCTTCTAGCACAGATATCGCTCCGTCGGTTTCAGCACAAGAAGCTGCGATTCAAGATCATATAATGGCCAAAAGCATGGAATCAATTAGAGTTGACTCTTCTCTGGACAGTAAGGATGTCGATGTGTTGTCAAGCACAATAGATTCAGAATCAGCCACTTCCGAAGCTACAGTACCAAGTTTGAAATCGACCGCCATTGTACAGACCACGTCTCCTCTTCTGCCACCCATAACCCCTCACAACAGGCTGAGTATTGGTGTTCCATCAACCTTCGAGAAAGAAGAAATAGAAAAGCTTCGACAAACAAATACGATTGCAAATTCAAGTACAATTGCTGAAGAGGAAGAAATTGACATAGCTTTCAAATCACCACAATCGCTACCTGAGCCGGTGCCGCCCATCGAGACCATTCCAGAGCAATCCCCGCACTTTGAGGCCGCAACCTTGGGCACTGTCGACAAAGAGGCACCTCAGGTGGGAGCGCATCCCCAAATCACTGTCGAAGGCGAGCCTGTCCCTTCCAATAGTGCCGAGAAGCGTGGATCGGGCTCTGCTGGTAGGCGCACGGGTCGTCGCGGTATGCTTGAGCAGGACAAGACTATTGCAAGTCCAGAGACATCGGACATATCAGACGACGAATCCTTGTATGATGAACTTCAAACTGCAATTGTTGAAGAGGCCAAGTCAGTCATGGTAGCACGATCTCCCCGGCATGCTGTATTCAACAGAGGTAGCCTGGAACGTCAACAGGAGCCAAATAGGTCTATTTCATTGCAGACTCACCAGACAGAGGAAAACTCCAAATCCACGACAGAAAAAGCCAAAGTTGAAGCAGGCCGGAGCTCATCCTCTTCACTACCAACCTGGTCACTTAGTGCTGACTCAGCCCAGTCTCTGCTCCTCAAGAAAACTAACGTATCGACGGGAATTTCTAAACGCATCCAGGCCCTCGAAATGTTTAGCGGTCGCACGGAAGCACGTCCGGGTTCGCCAAACCAAGCAGCACTACCGAGTCCTCCTCTGACGGGTGGTCTGGTGAAGAAGCGCACGTCTTCCCATTCTCCAAGTGAAACCCCTGTTCGCTACACAAATTCGGGCACTTCACCGGCAAAACAAGCTCATTATCCCTCACCAAACCCAACCCCAACCCTAACGCCAGCAGTTGCTCATCATAAGTCAGCTCTGGCCCAGGAAGATATTTCTAATGTCGACTTCCTTGCCCCAAGACGGAAAGGTGACTCGGTTTCGGTGACAGCACGAATCGTTGAGGAACCAGTTGAGAGCAAGCCGATTGAGTCAAGAAACACTTCGAAGCCCGCTTCCATGAATCTACATCCGAACCTTCTGGTTGTGGAGCACGAAGAGGAGGAATCTCCTCGTCAATATGAATTTTCGAGCGCCACGCAACGGGATGTTGAGCCACTTCCTTTGAAGAAGTCCCAAGTGAAAGCAACAGATAATCCAAACCCTGAGCGGTGCCGGCTATCAATGTCTTCGAATCGTTCTAACCCAGGCCAGATGCCGCAGTCAGAGTCTTTCACGAAGCGCTTGGCCATGACCATTCGTCACGCTAGGACCGGGTCTGGCAATCTACCTCGTTCTGCTAGCGATTCGTCCTCGAATGCGGACGAAAAGATGGTGAAAGAATCGCGAAAGGCTCGTTTAATAAGGCGAATGTCTGTATTTACTGCGGGCCCTCGTCGCAGCATGGCCTCTGCCTTTGGATCCAACACTCTAAAACATGAAGAGTCACCTTCTGGAGTTGGCCAACCACCGGAACCAATCGCCGAGCTTTCGGGAGAAATTTCTCCTGTAAATTCTTCTTCAGGAGAATCTCATGCTCACGTTGTGGATATTGGGGATGTCAACATTCAATTCCCAGATACACTCCTTTGGAAGCGGCGTTTCATGCGCATTGACGATCAAGGCTTTCTCATCCTGACACCACCTACAATGGAGGCAAATAAACGTGGTATAAGTCGCCGATTCCACCTTAGCGATATCAAAAAGCCGAGTCTACCACCTCTTGAGCGGGAAGAATTGCCCTGGAGCATTGTACTTGATTTCGAGGATGGTACCTGTCTTCAAGTTGCTTGCGAAAGCAGATACGCTCAAGGGCAAGTTTTGAGAAGTAGGTTGCCCAAGGTTTCAATTCTCTTCGACAGCGCTGACCGGCGGCACAGTGCTCGAAGACGCACATGCAGCGTATCAGTCTCTGTTCACGCAATCCTGATTCCACTGGAGCTCACTGGCCTGACCGGTTCGGCAAAAGTTCGCTGCTGATGGTACATCTCCATATCACTACGACTCCACACCTCCACATCCACCCCTGTCTTATGATTTCTTTACGAAAAGCGATTGAAGCACTGATGCTGGCTGGGTACATGGATATCTCTTCGTTTACACATTACCTTTTTTCCATGACACGCGATAGGCTTTTCCTTCTGCATTTTCGATACCCCATTACTGATCTACATAACTTTTCGCGGCATGGACCAAGATTGGGAATTTGAAGGAGCAGAGGGAAGGTATGCGATGGGAAGGCGGTAAGGGGAGGATTTCTCGTCGGGGCAGGTAGTACATGGAAGTGAAGGGAAAGAAGATCAGTTTGCGGGTGATTAGGTAGACTATAGACGAACAAGTCGTCAACCTAGCAATCAAAAAACGATCATCACTTTCGTAAGTGCTAGCCTCTTATAAGACCACCTCAGGAACACGTCTGATTTCTGGTCTTCTTCCACCTGACCAACATTCTGCCATGCGGGCGAAGGAATTGTAAGCAAGGATAGTGATACAGCGGGCGTGGAAGCGTTTGAATCAAGGGTCTTTGCTGTAAGTTTTGGGTCTTGCGACTGCTTCAAGATTCGTTCCAACATCCAATCGTGCTGGGACATTGACCAAGTAGCTGCATAGAGAGCCGGTGCGAGGCTTTAACTGGGAGAAGATCAGCAAGAGCCCAGCGTCTGGGGCCTTGCGGAGACGCAGTTCATCTGGCTAGCCTTAGCGCACGTCTTGCCTGCCCATGATCATGCCTCACATTTGACGACTTTCTGTCTGGTGGGTAATGTACAGAAGTCATTTGAGTTCTGTTCTTTCTCCACATCTTCTCTTCGCTTTCACTTCTCCTCCTCGCGGCCGGAGATTGGACTCTGAGGCCTTGATCATATCGCTCTGGGAGGTAAACGAGGGGTATCCACCTATGGTACTGGTTCGAGTTGTCTAATTTCGTAGACGGAACGAGCCAAAAATGTAGTGCCTCGTTTACCAGATGTGGCTGCTGTTGGAGCAGCGTGACCTGACAAATTGCTTGTTTGCCCAATCGATCTTTTCATGCGTGCAAACAGTAGCTCTGAGAATGAGATGGAAGGAGAAGGATGCTGTTAAGTCTACTACGGTCTTTGTTGGAGATATAAATGAGAAGCGTAGCTGCAATTGACCGTACATAGAGTAATTCATGTTTCGGATTTCCACGGAGGAAGAGACCACCAGGAGTCTGGATAGTGGGATTGCCTGCGAAGCGGTGATTTTGCCCCTGTCGAGTTTGGGTTTATAGATTGGTTAGCAGCGGCCGGATCACCAGGGAAAAGCTACGCGGCCCGCTCTCCATGATTTTTCTCTCTTATTTCTGCTTTATGTCCAGGTTCCCATCACGGATGACTTTGTCAAAATACACCATATCCATTCCACCACGCGAAGACTCCTGGACCTACCACCCCCGCTAGGGCACCCACCAGACCCAACTCGATAATACACCATATCCATAGCGTCCCAATAGCGGGCGCCCGCTTCATCACGGCGTAGTAGCCTCGATCGTTGGTCAGGTAGATAAGGTAACAGCCCGCTATGTTTGCTGTGATGATGAATGCGATTTGCTGTGCGATCTTTGTCGCAAAGCGTGCTCGCTGTGAGAGGTGCGGGAAGGGCAAGGCATGGCCATGGGCTAAGTGGATGAGGAGGGTGAGCGTGGGAAGTGCGACGAAGATGGATTGCTTGAGGAGTGTGGGTATGGAGTGGAGGTCAGGTTGGGCGTATTGGTGGAATGTTAGGAAGGAGAGGGTGAAGTGAAGGCAGGTGAAGGGGAAGGAAAGGAGGAGAGTGTCGAGGAGGGGTGGGAGTGGTTCAGAGGAAGTGTCTAGTGTAGAAGCGGTGGCCTCGGCTTTTGATGATGGTGTTTCGGAGATCTTGCCGTCTGGAGATAGGGTGACGAGTTTGGTTGTGTTTGAGATTGTTGAAGCATCATTTCGTTCCGTCTCATCGAGAAAAGGTTGTCCATGAGGAGCGAGCTCTGCTTGTCGTTCTGCGGCGATCTCATACAGCGTCTTGGCTTTTGGTTTGTTGGACTCGGAGTCTGATGACCGCGGCCGCTCCATGGGGATCTCTGCCGCAGAAGAGAGCTCAGCGGAAGGAGACTCCTTGGCCACTAATGCGCGGCGCTGGCGACGGTTCATCGTGGTAGCATTGCTGTGAGCATGATTTGTAGATCATTACGCATGAAATCCCAAGATCTGGCTGTGGTTGAAGCCCTTTCAAAATCTGGGAGACGGAGAGAAGCTTGGCATACAGGGGCTCTCTTAGATTTACCGAGTACTAACTACTAGTAGTAGTGCTGTACGTAGTAACTATTTTCACTCGGCCAGCTCCCAGAGACGCCCAAATGCTGTCATTGGGCTGGTAGTTAGTGTACATGACAAAGATGCCCACGGCTTTCTTATTGTGCTTGGTTGTCCCTTTCAATATAAATTTCATGGCATCCAGCCATCCCAGCTACTCCAGCCATCCCAGCTACTCCAGCTATCCCAGCTATCCCAGCTATTTCAGCTATTTCAGCTATTCCAGCTATTCCAGCTATTCCAGCTATTCAAGCATCATGCAAAGGACAAGGTTGGGAAGGACCCTTCTCTGGCCATCGGAGCAGAGTGAAATGATTGAACACCGCTGGCAGCTACCATGCACACCGCCTGATTTGGTGGAGCTGACTGTGTAAGCATCCATTGCGCACTGCAGTGCCATGATTCAGAAAAGGTGGCAAAGGGTGGCAGCAGAGTCGGCAGAGTCAGCAAAGTCAGGCGCATGGCCACATGGTCGGGCCGAAGAGCCCGCCAGTCATGGAGTACTGAGGATGGCAAGGTTGGGAGTTTGGTAGTTTTCATATTCAACTAAGGGAAAGCGGTGACTAGAGAAACGTCCAATTGACAATGCACGTTTATGTTACTCGATGGTTACTGGATTATTACTCGACCGAAATCCAAATGAGGAAGCTCAACGCGGTACGGGTGAAAACTATCTTCTGTACGGAGTAGATCTCAACCTCGTGCAGCTCCAGCTGAGAAACCCGGCAGTCAGACTCCACCGTCGTGGCTCAGCAGGATAGCATCTGCTCTCAGCAGACTGGTTTTGTTCTCCTGTATAGCGACAAACGTAGAGTGCGCTTGTGCACAACAACAGATCTCAGATCAGCTCCGTCCCAGCTCCGCGGATTTCCAGGATTTACCATGCATGCAGATGCGCGGGGATGGCCTGCAGCTTAATCCAGTCACAATGACGGGGCGCATTCTTCCGAGGTCCTCACTGTCACAAGTGCAGGGCAGGAGTGCTAGTTATAGGAGATGGTGGGGCACTGCATAAGGGCTGGAGGACCGATGACCAAGACAAACTGCTTCTCCCTCTTCTCAGTGGCAGGCAAGGATGAAAGTAACGATGAAAGTAACCGAGCCCGAACCACATCACGCGGGAGAGGCGCATCAATCATCTCGCAAACGGTGGTCAGGCGCCTCGTGTTGAATGCAACGCGGCAAACGGTCAGGCCATACACAGCTGCAATCATCATTATTGCTGGAAATGGCATCATCAACAAGACGTTTGATGCATACTACGTACTGAATAACACATTACCTCCGGGCAAGAGCAGGCTGCCAACCCTAGCTCGGAATATTTGTCCTCCCAGTGACGTTCCACTTAAGGCCCTTTCCAGTGGTAGGTCATCACTAGCTCATCGACCTTTCAATTCCCATTATTCACTCCCGGCGCACCATCCCGACCATGTTGTACTACGTAGCGGCTGCTTCATATTTTCTGCCTGTCAGCCTACAAAGACCCCGCGGAGGCCTCCGCTTCTTTATTGACTGACTAGACTTGCTTCTTCCAACCTCGCCATTGCTGCTGCTTCTTCATACTTACCACAGTATTATCTTCGACGGCAGCAACATCAATTCTTCCAGGGTGCTGATCACCAACAACCCTGTCAACACAGGGTTCTGTGCCCTGACCTTAGTTAAAGCTTAACCTGCCAAACCCTTATCTTATCGGTGCTTTCCCCGGAAAGTTCTGCAGCTCCAAGGCTCCAAGGGCTGCCACCCCCCAGTTCTGGTGGATGCCCAGCCGCATAAACCACGTTAATCGCCATGCCGAAGCGCACATCTCTACACTTTGGCAAATCCGCTTCTCCCAATCACTCCACAAACGCCGTCAATGAAGTCGTCTCGGCGGTGCAGAGGAAGCTGACAATCTCTTCCACTGAGGAGGTCCCATCCGTCAAGTCTTCTCCGCGGAGACCCTCCTTCAGTATGAATGCCATGTTACACGCTGGCAAAGACAAGGAGCACTTGCATCATGGCGACAGCAACGATCGCGAGGCACGGAAGCACAAGCGCAACTCCTTGACAAGTGGTCTGCGGACGAGTTCCAGGTCAAAAGACACTCTCGCCAATCAATCACCGCGTCTAGCAGCCATCTCTCCGGGCAAATTTGATCTGATCATTGAGTCTCCTCCTCTGGTCTTTTACGGCACAACACAAAGCTCGTCAGGCGCACTTCTCTCGGGCCGTCTGAGATTACATGTCACAGACCCTTTAGCAGAAATCAAGCTCACAAACCTCGTCATGACCCTGAACGCAGCCATAACCACTAAAAAGCCCGTCGTAAAAGACTGTCCCGAATGCGCAAAACGTGTCAACGACCTCAAGACTTGGAAATTTCTCTCCGAGCCTATGACCTATCATGCCAACAAAAGCAACCAGTTCCCTTTCTCCTTCCTCCTCCCGGGCCATCTCCCTGCAACCACAAATTCCGCGTTGGGGTCCGTCACTTACTACCTCGAAGCTCATGCCACAACCTCCCACTCTGAGGAAATCCAATTAAGACACCCCCTCAAAATCGAGCGCGCAGTTCCACCTGGTCTAGAGAAATCCTCCGTTCGAATCTTCCCACCCACAAATCTGACCTCTCGTGTCATCATGCCCCCCGTCATCCACCCAATCGGGAGTTTTCCGCTTCAAATGATCCTCTCCGGCGTCGTCGACAAGAAAACCGATACGCAGACTCGATGGCGCCTGAGAAAAGTCATGTGGCGGATAGAAGAGCATACAAAGATGATCTCCTCACCTTGCTCGAAACACGGGCACAAGGTTGGCGGAGATGGAAAGGCCCTGCAGCATCAGGATGAGCGGACAGTAGGATGCGACGAATTGAAGTCGGGTTGGAAAAGTGATTTTGACACCCACGGCGGAGAGATTACGCTAGAGTTCGAAGCCCGCCTATCTCCGTCGAGAAATCCGATCTGTGATGTGGACTCTCCTGCCGGGTTGGAGGTGAAGCACAACCTCGTAATCGAGCTGATAATCGCGGAGGAATTCTGTCCGAATCGCAACACCTCGCTCATAACTCCCACCGGTGCAGCGCGGGTTCTCCGCATGCAATTTGGGATCAACATAACTGAACGCGCGGGGATGGGGATATCATGGGACGAAGAGATGCCACCCGTGTATGACGACGTACCTGAAAGCCCACCCGGTTACGGGACAAGCGATAAAACTGCCGGCGCTTTCGGTGGCGCAATCATGGAGGATTATGACGGTCCAGAGCTCGAATACCATGATCTCGAGCGGCTGCACTCGGATAACCCGCACGAGCCGCCTAAATACCGTGAGAGGGATCCAGCCGAGTATGTGGATGTTTTGGCCACTATGATGAGGCGATCCGGGTCAGGGTCAAGAGCATCGACAGCGAGTCCCGGCTTGGGTCCTTCGAGTCCTAGATTCAAGGCACGAACCGCGTCCAGAAGCTCGAATCATTCTGCGCATCCGCCCCATTCGCATCTACATCATGCGTTGGGCTTGACGGAGGATGACTTTGGCATTGAACCACCACAGTTCCGCATCTCGGAGCATGATGAACGCCAGAGGGATGAGACCGCTGTTGTCGACGAGGATTTTGGCGTGGGTGAGGCGGTGGGCTGAGTCAATCATTTGGATTTGGACACTTTTTGGCGTCATGGCTGCTACATTGCCTCGGTTCGTTTTGTGCAATCGTCAGGACGGACGATGAACGGGATAGGCCTGGGATGTTTGCAACTTATTGCGATTCACAGCTCGCATATTGATACCCAGTTTCAATTTGCATGCATTGCCTTTAACAGCCGGCGGCAGTTTTAAGACCTTTGGGTCTTTTCCATTGTACATATGTACATATATACATAACCACGCATGCATATGGTTTTACTGCAGTGAACAACTCATGAATGTTGTCCTATGTATAATCTTTAGATCCATGTCCCCAACCACATGACTGCTGGGTCCCAACATTTTGAATCGGTCCCAACATTTTGTAGTCGGTTGTCCCTCAGCCAGTAGTCTCAGGCTCTCTTTTCTTGGCGGCTTCCGTGAGTACTCGTGTAGAGCCTCGCGATAACGATGTTGTGTGGTTCTTCGCTCGGGCCAATATCTCCATTTTCGGTGTTTCGGACATTTGGGACATCTCATGTACAGAAATGGCTTGCTTTTTATCGTAGAGATTGTGCACCTTATTTCGATTTCAAGGCCGCAAGATGATTTGTAAGACAACGGATATGGTGTCAAGCTTTTCGCCTCTTGTATCTTGTGGTGACAATATGTACAGGCACTTCCATAGTCCGAGATAGATAGATCTGGTCTTCTGGTGTTGCAGGAGCAAGACGCAGACGTATCGACCGCAGACTTATCCGGCGGATGGCTACAACACCTAACAGAGAGCAACTCTAACAAACAGAATAAGGGCTATAAGCCGGGAGAAGCCAATCTCGGTCAGAAACGTCTTACACGTTGGCTGGCTAATGACGCCCCGGCGCGCTGGTTTTCGTGCATCTCAGCCCCGAAATTTTTCCTGGCCTCAGATAGATGCGCGAAGGTCACTATTCTCTGGTCCATGTGCGCCCTCAACACTCCGTTCCTCCGCGACATGGCGATGCCGGTTCTAGCGGCTTCAAGACGAGTTTCCCGGAGACCTTCAATCTCGACAAGACCGCCCCGGGTTCTGTAGGCGACTGAGTTCGGAAGGTATTCTGCGAAGTCTGCAATCAAGTTCGGTAAACGGCAGCGCTCCCATTCTTTGATTCCGCGGCTCTCGGGCCACCTTTTCCACGTGAACGTTGTTCGGATCGTATGGATCAGAAGCTGCAGATCACGGTCTTCGATGATGGAAGAGAATATGAATTGACGGCGGAGGTTGAACCATTCTGCTGGGAGCACATGTTGGGAATATGCAGGTTGACGTTCTAGAAGTTGGTCTGTAAGGTCTAAAAGTTCCCTGCCATGTAGTGCTGCCTCTCCTCTACCGTCTTCAAATAATGATTTCGCCAAATGGATGCACTCAAGAGACTCTCTCAGCAAACCATGGTGACGAAACGATTGGGCCCGATAAGCGTGCATCACAACATCTGGCTTGATGTTATGGGGTTCATCGGTCATCTGCGTCCAAAGCATATCCATTATTGCGGGAGGTAACTGTCCTATTCCAAGACCCTTTCTCTTCTGTATTGTAGACCGCCAACGAGACAGGACAAACGTCCAGTCGAATAGATGCATCCAGACGTTGAAAGGGATGCGGAGGTCGTACTGTCTTGACACGAAGTCGACTAGCTTCAAAGCGAGTTCGATCTCGTTGTTCGAACCGAATACATGAGCTATGGTGTAAAGCAGCCGGGCAGTAGGGCGCAAAGGGGAGTCGAGCTCATAGAAAGTTGGTGTCTCGACCTCCTCTTCGTCCACTTGGAGCAGAAGATCAACGTCGATGTTATAAACGGATTTCAGTATGCTCTTTGCACCAGCAAGATCGGCTTCTCTGCCCATGGCTACCATGAGATTTGTGAATGTCTCCTCATTGCCTTCGATTTTCTGACTCACCATCCTCCGGAAATACACCAGGGTCTCATGTCGAAGTCCTAATGGTCCGGCACGATGTCCACTAAAGCCTGGGGGAGGATCGACCGAGCTTCGTATCGCAAGAACGCGCGGAATGACCCGTAAATGCCATTGTTCGGTCTTGCTGAATGCATTCGCCCAACAAATGGCTTCCATGTAGCAATTGTAGGCCTGCACATCAAGATCCTGCTGTAACCCATCTTCTGGTATCATGATCTGCCAGATCTGCCTAGCCATAGGTCCATGTCCTAGAACTCGAGCACAATGCAGGAGATGGGTGCACACACTCTTGGTAAGTTGATATCCATCACGACGTAGGTCGATGATCTCCTTGAGCTGTTCAGCAAAACTTTCGAGGCGCTCTTCAATCGCCCGGACCCATCTATATCTGGGCTGCGTCGTAAGGGAAGGCTTGATGTATCGGTAGATATCCTTGAACGGTTCGATGAGATACCAGGGATCAATGCTGCAGAAAGCGGCCTCGAAGTCCTCCGAAGGCGCATGTGCAACGAATCTTCTACCTTCGGCGGTCGAGAGTAAAGCGTAGAAGACACGTTCGGGGTGAGCTTGTTCCAAGATGTCTCCCAGTGTGCTGTTGACTTCAACATTCTGTCCAACCACCGAGGAATGGGTACTGATAGCAGAAGTAGTCGATCCTTCAGTCTTGTCTATGTTCTTGTTGGAGCCAGAGAATATTCCGGACAAGCTGAAAGGAGATGATGTCGTATGAAGGCATCTTTGCCGCATCCGGGGAGTCCGTTCAGGGATGGAGGCTGACTGAGAGCGTGGGTGCCGAGCAAGAATATGCAGCTTCAGGTGAGGAATACGACTCGAAGACTGCTGAGTGAAGGTTGTGAAGCCCCCCAGACAGGGAACAGAGCCACGCATCAATTGGCCCCGAGCTTGATTGACAAAGCATCCTGATACATGCGTGTGCGCCAGGAACAAAAGGTTCGGTGATAGGGCTAATCCGGTTCGGGGCATTTGCGGCCTGCTTCCCCATCAGCGTCGGAATCGACTTTAGGGAGACGTATCACGCAGTGACCATTTCCATAAATACAGTATGGCAGACGCAGGAGAAGAGGAGGCCACCTCAGTCTCAGAGCCTCTCGATCTGGTGCGATTGTCGCTTGACGAGATAGTCTTTGTGAAGCTGCGAGGGGACCGCGAATTGAAGGGCAGGCTTCACGTATGCGAATGCAGCATAGCACAACCTCACGAGGAAGACGAATCACTAACACCGCTTTCAGGCCTACGACAGTCACTGCAATGTTGTTCTGGGAGATGTGGAGGAAACCATCTACACCATCGAGGAAGATGAAGAAGGCGAAGAAACGGTCAAGGTGCTCGATACGGATAACAATGGCTTTCGACTACGCTGATCATTTCTTAGACCATCAAGAAACAATCGGAGATGTTGTTCGTGAGAGGTAAGGCTTGGTGGAATTCTGGAGAGACGTTGGGTTCTGAGTTTGATACAGGTGACTCGGTTGTGCTCATTTCGCCGCAAGCCCCCTCATGATATAGCCTCAGGACCTTCCTTCCGGATCACCCAGGTCTCTTCGAGGATGCGAGCGTGGCTCAAGCTAGGATCAGCAGATTAACGGATGTGGAAACCGAGATGACCTGGGGCAGATTGAAGATTTCGGACGGTTGCCCAGGCACAGACTTCGCTCCCGCTGAAAGTGCATATAGGCGGTATTCTGCCTTGTCTGGGAATATACTCAGGCTTCGATATGACGGCGTTACATCTCCTGACGTAGCATTGGGGCACAAATGCGGTCCCACAACCATAGCACAGAGCACTGATACGATGAAGGGCGTGGAAGTAGCATGTGGCGGTATGAGTCAATGAACTGCCTATTCAGGCGTCATGACTGTTCGTAGACTCATCCCCATCTGCATACATAACCCAAATGTTTTGCGCCCTGCACTGCTCTTTTCTCTCACCACTGTAGTAATCAGGTCTTGCCTTTCTCCGAGTCAAAATGCAATAATCATCCGCTCTTCCCAACACGATCTCTTGGGAGCTTGGTCCCGCGCGATGATCATCCGAACAGCCTGAAGACCGCGGGGGCGAATCAGCACCCTTTACTCAACGGCCACTATCACTTTCCAACCATGGCTGGACGCATGAAGCAAACATTGCAGGAGAGACGCAAGGGGGAGCTTGTATGCTTATCGCATGCTGGCCCCAAAGAACATGCTGATAACTTATTCAGGCGCTCTCCGATTTCGCAGATTATGTCGAGAAGCAGCAAACCACACGCCCAAGGCCTGGTCGGCGCGGAAGCTCCATTGCCCCCAGCGATAGTGGCTACTCCACCAGAAATTACTCTACGGTGACAGATGAGCATGCTGAACTCGATATCATCGACCAGCTGGGACTTTCAGATACACCTACGCAGGTCAGATTAAAAGACTGGCTGCTAGACACGTCTGCCGACGCCGGCGCAACACTTGAACAGTTATCAGGCTTGGTGCAGAGTCGTCTTGACGAGGGACATGGAGAGACCTTGTTCGATCTTGGTCAAGAGGATAACGGGGAGTCGATGGGCTTCGACCTGGACCGCTGGAATACCGCCCTGGATCGTCTACGCGTGGCAGCGGACAAATTGAGGGCAGATGTCCGGGTACTCCTCACGCACAACGTTGGTGGTCCTGAGGAAGCCGAGACGAAGACCGAGAAGGACAAATCATGTACCGGCAAACTCCTCATACGGCAACATCCAAGCAATCCAGAGGAAGTCATTGAGACGCGGATAGCTGTCGTTGGTAATGTCGATGCTGGGAAATCTACTATGCTGGGAGTTCTGGTGAAAGGAAACCTCGATGATGGCCGTGGCAAAGCCCGAGTAAACCTCTTCCGCCACAAGCACGAAATTGAATCTGGCCGAACGAGTTCTGTCGGCATGGAAATCATGGGCTTTGACACTCATGGTGACATCGTCGCGAGTAACGTGCCAGGCCGGAAATTGACCTGGGGCGAGATCGGAACAAGATCTGCCAAGGTGATCAGCTTCACTGATCTGGCAGGGCACGAACGCTACCTCCGAACTACCGTTTTTGGTCTCTTGAGCAGCTCTCCGAACTACTGCTTACTCATGGTAGCTGCCAACAATGGGCTGATAGGAATGTCCAAAGAACATCTTGGCATCGCCCTGGCACTCAACGTACCAGTCATGGTAGTCATCACCAAAATCGACATCTGCCCTCCTCAGATCCTCCAACAGACCATAACCCAGCTGACGAGAATTCTAAAATCTCCGGGTGCACGCAAAATCCCAATCTTCATCAAGAACCGTGAGGAGACCGTCAATACAGCCACCCAATTCGTCAGTCAACGGATCTGTCCAGTCTTCCAAGTCTCCAACGTGACAGGGGAATGCCTCGACCTCGTCAGAACATTCCTCAATATCCTCCCTCACCATGGCCACTACGATGCTCAAGCACCCTTCGAATTCCATATCAATGACACCTTCTCCGTTCCCTTCGTCGGCACCGTAGTTTCGGGCGTTGTAAAAAGCGGCGTCATCCATGCTGGCGACAGTGTGCTCATCGGCCCAGATTCCCTGGGACAGTTCCAAACCACCGCCATCCGCTCTATCGAGCGCAAACGGATTCCTGTCCCAGTCTGCTCCGCTGGGCAATCCGCTTCGTTCGCGTTGAAACGGGTCCGGAGGAAAGAAGTTCGCAAGGGTATGGTCGTGTTGCCGAAACTCGACACACCGCCAAAAGTATACAGGGAGTTTGTGGCTGAAGTGCTCATCTTATCGCACGCTACCACCATCCGACCGAAATATCAGGCGATGCTGCATGTCGGGCCTGTGAGCCAGACATGCGCAATCATTGATATTGATCGGGAGTTTATTCGGACAGGGGATCGCGCGATGGTGGCGTTCAGGTTTGTGCAGAGGCCAGAGTATCTGGCTGTTGGAGATAGGATATTGTTTCGTGAGGGGAGGACGAAAGGGCTGGGCATCGTGAAAGCATTGAGCTACACAGAGGGGAGTTTGAACCCACAGACTAAAAAGGAAGGAGAGGAAGAGGCGAGTGAAAAAGGAAAGGAAAAGAGTGTAAAGTAAACGACATGTACTTGTGATACCCAAAGTCGTAGCATGTTTTGCCGCAATGCCTACGCATCTTCCTTCCTGTTGTGGCTTTCTAGTCTCGTCATCCTCATCTTACAGTTTTAGAATCGTATGCAAGCAACCATTCAACATGATGTGGGTATGTAATAGCCAGATTAGAAACCCTGAATTCTAAGCCTTGACTAAACGTCTGCTCTTAAACGCCTCAGGTGTATCATTCCATTCCCCTGCTTTAGCCGGTGATCTCAACTTTCGACCTCCTATACAAATTTAAGGGCGTTCTTGCCCCGAATTCCGCCCATCCAGGCAGAAAGGATCGAGAGATAGACCAGCATTAGATGTGAGCATGTCCCAGGGGAAATGCCATTCAGGATTCACCGCTTGGCCAATTGTGTAGAGTTCGTGGCACTCGGTGGTCAGCAAGGGGTCCACTCTTCCTAAGACTACTCCCACACTAACCATAGCATCGTTGTCGTTTTGGGAGGGGTATATCATGCTTGACATGCCTGGCGTGCTTGGTGCGCATAACAGGAAGATACCAAGGATACTAAGGAGGAGGAAGATACATTGTGCACCATAAATGAAGGACAAACTGTACAGAGTATGAAAGAAGGAAAGCAATCATCTCTCTAATGTGTCTACACCGCCAAGCTCGATTAATTTGGTTGAAATGTGCTGTAAGCGTACGTAGTAATCTGCGGCCCGGATGATCAGCCTTCTTATTGGATAAAGTTCCCCTTCCCTGCCTTCTTACGTAGTAAATTTATATGGTAAGGGGCATGCGTAGTAAGTAATCGTAGCACAGCGCTAGTAGCAGCTAGTTCGGATACAACGCCACATCAATGTCAGAAGGCTTCTTTGACGATTATCCATATGGATTGGTCACCCTAGTACCCTCTAACTGCTAAAAGCTTAGGTGTTACGTTTGGAATCTGTCTTGGTGCAAATATACGAAGTACTAGCGCCGTGTTACGAATACTTATGCCAGGTACCGTAGTATGATAGAAAATACCTAGTAAGCAGTGCTTTAGGGGGCTAAGGCTGCAGAATCTTGCTAAGCCATACCTCATCAAAATTGAAAAACCACTTTTTGTAGTAGGAAACTATTTGCTGCTGCATCTCGCTCAGTGACTCAGCATGGTAGTCGAGTTTTCAAAATTATGGGGCAGCAAATTACATGCCTAGCAAACATATTCTACATTTAGGGTAGATGATTCACAATCTTCCAAACATAACTATTAAATCAGACAGCTTCTTCCAATAGCATTTCACTTGTTCAGCTCCGCTCAGCTCGGCCCAGGCCATTCAATTGTTCGGTCCAGTGCACTGTATGCAGAAATTGACCAGAATTCCTGCGTTGCACAACTTCTGAGAGGCAGGAATGACGACCAGCAACTCCAATTTAGCCCTGCTGATCGACGGAGACAATGTCTCGCCCAAAATAATCGTTGGCCTCATGGCTGAGATCGCTAATTACGGCACTGCCAGCGTCAGGCGGATCTATGGCGACTGGACCAGCCCGTCCCTGAAGAGCTGGAAAGGATGCCTGCTAGACCACTCGATAACGCCAATGCAACAATTTGCGTACACCAGCGGAAAGAACTCCACTGACGGCGCTATGATCATCGACGCTATGGACCTACTATATACTGGCCGCTTCTCTAGCTTCTGTATCGTCTCGAGCGACAGCGACTTCACGCGCCTTGCAGCCCGCATCCGCGAGCAGGGCGTCACGGTCTATGGCTTTGGAGAGCGTAAAACCAATACTGCGTTTATTGCTGCCTGCGACAAGTTTATGTACTTTGATGTACTCAATGTGGAGTCCGAGGAGCCGCTTGTTGCACCTCAACCACCCAGGCCGGGCTATCCTCCGGTTTTCGTCCGTAAACAACCAGCTACGAGACCGCTCGATCAGGCGGCACTCAGGGGATTAGCAATGGCGGTGACTAATGCCGTGAGCTATAGCGACAATTGGGTCAACCTGGCCGACGTCGGCAGCTATCTGAGCAAAATCTCGCCTGATTTGCATGCACGCAATTACGGCTATGAACGTCTTCGGGAGTTTGTGGAAGCGTCTGGAATCGTGGACTTGAAGTGGAAGAACATGGGCGACAAACCTCCGGTTGTCCTCGTCCGTCTCAAAGAGAATTTGGCGTGGAACTCTAGCTCTCCAACTCATTGAGATCGCCGTGTTCCTGCACTATTCTTTGTAGTTTTATGCCTCAAGCGATACCTTCTCGTTCACGTTACCATTCTGATTGGAGATGGATCATGGCGCCGTAAAAATGATTTTACTAGTTCCCTGAGACCGCAAACAATGTGATATTTGTCAGCGACTTAGTCATTGCCGAAAGTTGAGAAGGCAATATCGGAAGGGCAGTACTACGTACCAGGAGTGCATCACCTGTAGAAGGGAAATATTAAGGTAAGAGCTAACTAGGAGTTATAACGTAGGCTAAGGGGCTGGAGCCTAAATTCACGTCAGGGTACTTGCGGGTGTGGCTTAAGCAATAGAAGGCCAGAATATAGGCGGTCATTTAATAATAATTGTAAAATTGCGAGGGTAAAGTCTGTTACTACTTGCCGTCTTGATAGACGCAATTGGGCCGGATACGTTCGCTTATAGGAAATGTGTTCTTTAACAGCCACGGGAAAATTCTGAAGTCCAGTCAGACGCCACATCATTCAGAGCAGGGGAGAAGTGTCTCCTTTTCGGACGATCCAACCAGTATCCTGCATCTATTTATGAATTCCGTTGGTTGGTACATGCAGAAAATAACTAGCAAAAACATACCTACAATATGACAGGTGGATTTTGCTACTGTCCGGCTCTACGATACAGACATGTCACTGCTTTTCGCCATCAATCATTCGGTCCCTGACCTGCAAGTAACGGACCCCGGTCTATTTCTTCTAGATATCTATGGTAAATCTCCACTACAAATCATTTGTGCAGGAACCCCATCTCTTTCCAAGCCTCTATATATTTCCTTGCCACATCCGCACTCACCGGGCCCACATGGGCGAGTGTTTGGGAATGTTCTCTGCTTTTTGTAGTATCCAGAAGCAGGCCGCCACACGACATGCGGATGAAATTGCCATCCAAAAACTCAATCAGCTTCGCCGCCGGATTGTCTAACTCAACGGACCCGGGGAAGTTCCGCACTCGTTTGACCCATTCGTCAAAAGGAATCACATTTTTTCGAGGGATGTCGAGGGCGTCGGCCAGCACCGGAATCATATCGCGCCATGGCTGCCGCACAGGATTGTCGACGTGATAGATCGGGTGGGGAGCGTTGGGCGAGACGAGCAGATCCCCCAGTGTAGCAGCGACATCATTGACTGGGGTCCAGGAAAGCAGGCCATCAAAATCAGGGAGTGCCTTCAACGTCTGGGATGACTTGATCAAAAACGAGAGATGCTCCACCGGATTCCAGTACCCACTGGTCTTCGAGCCGGCAACCTGTCCAAGACGCACTACCATAGTCCGGAATCGGTCAGGATACTTGTGCAGGGTCTCATCAAGCATCCTCTCGCACACAAACTTTGCATCGCCGTAACCATTTGGCAGAACTGACTCTATCGTCATCCTCTCCTCAGGAACATTGACATTGCCACTCCAGAGCGGGTAGTGTCCTACGGTGGCAATCGACGAGATGAACTGGAGGCTGACTATTGATCCCTTCTCACGGCGGCATGATATGTCCCGTACAAGATCGATTAGGTTCCGCATTACCCAGAATTGCGACTCAAATCCTTTCACCGGCCGCTTGCCGCTCATGGGCCATGCATTGTGGAGGACGTGCGTAACTGTGTTCAGGAGGGTTTCGTATATGTCGTGAGGTAGGCCCAGCATCGGTTTGACCGTGTCGGTTTCAAACACTTTTAACTTTGAGAGGGCATTCGTATCAAGTTTGATGCCTTTCGACTCCAGCGACTGTCGTTGTCGAGACTCGGGCTCAGAGCCGCTGCTGTGGCGATTCAGGCAGATGACGGCCTTCACATCAGGTAGTTCGGCAAAATGTGCGACCAGGTGAGAGCCTAGGCTGCCAGTTGCTCCTGTGACCAGGACACAGTGACCGGAGGTGCTGGGAATCGTGACTCGAGACGGCTGGACGGGAGCAGCAAAGCCGTGCGTGCTTTTCCGGACATATTCATCAACGGCGACTTGACGTGCCGCAGTATCAGTAACTTGACTCTGAGCAGGCTTTGGGAATGTGGGTAGACGGTCATACCTCGGCCCAGAGGCAAGTGCAATAATAATGCGCTGGATGTTATTCTCGGGGCGGTTGCCATCCGTCCAGTCGACATGTCCATATCCGACCGACTGCAACTCTCGCTCCCATCTTGACTGGTGTGATATGGCATGTTTTCGGCCGTCGTTGAAGAGCCACCAACCCTCTAGGAGACCAAAAATCATGTCGATCCAGTAAAGCGTCTCAGTCATTTCAAGCATCATGAGGATTCCATCTGGGCGTAGAGCTTTGCGGATATTCTTTGTTGACTCGGTCAAGCTGTGAGTAGCGTGAACCGCGTTACTTGCGATAATGATATGCTGTGTACCAAGCAGGTCGTTGTCCGGGGCCTTCTCAATATCATGCGCACGGAACTTCATGAAGGGATACGTCTTGAACTTCTTTCGTGCGGCGGCCACGAAAGATGGCGCGAGATCGGTAAACGTGTACTCAACTGGCACGTTCAGGCTGGCCAACAGTGGCACCAGGTATTTGGTTGTTCCTCCAGTACCGGCACCCATCTCGAGGATTTTCAGAGCGCCCTGGTGCATGGGCAGCTTGACAACCAGCCGTTTGATAAAGTCTTCCATCTGCTTGTACGCCAGCTTGTTGAGGAGCGAATCTCCGTAAAGCCCGGAGACGAGCTCTCTCCCCTCCTCGGATCCGAAGATCAGCTTGATACCGTCGGACTTTCCAGTCATCACATCTGCCAGCCGAGTGCCTGTGAAGTAGGTTAGCTTGTTGGCGTAGTCATGATCGGGATATTTATCCATTAGATTCTTTAAGATCTCTTTGCTGGACTTTGTAGAAAGGGTGATGGCGGTTCGTGTAATTTGGTCGCCGTTCACGTCTATGAGGCGAGCCTCCTTTTCCAACATATTGTACAGATAGTCGGCCAGCCGACCGTGTTGAGGAAGGTATCTAATACGTTCCAACTTCTGGCCAGCCTTCGCGGTCCGGAGGGAGCATCCCAACTGCTCGAAAGCCTCTACAGTAAGTGCAACGCACAGCTGAGTTTGCTTAGGGTTGACAACCTCCATATAGTCCGCACATCGGTAGTCGGCGATGAACTGATCCGTAAGTATCTTTGTTTCGTTAAAGGCTTCCAGGATCGTCGACGCTGGAATATCGAGATTGCCGCCGGCAGAAAATTCAGTGATGCCGCTGCCTTTGGCCTCTGTAGTCCCGTTTACTGGCGGAGTCTCCCCTTTTGCTGTCTTTGGTGGTGTCGCACTAGGCGTCTTGGAGGCACGGCCAGACTCTCCATTAATCGTAATGTCCAATTCATCAACGGTCAGCTCTTCGATCATGATATCATCTGAGATGTGGACACCGAACTTGTCTGTAATATCAGACCGGAGCTCCGTGGACAGCAAGGAGTCGACGCCAAGGTCCCGGAGGAGTGCGCCAGTGACCACGTCACTTCCTCCAATCCCAAGAAAATCAGCTAGATATTCAGCCAGATCCATTTTCGCTGTGGAGGAGACGCTGGTGTTCGAATCCGACAAAGTGTCAGAGTTCTGGCTGGCGGATGACGGCTGGTCGTCGTCGTCGTCGTCGTCGTCAGTTTCGGTGGTTGCGCCATCATCCGTTGGCCCCAACACTGACTGGATGCACTGTACCAAGGTTTGGAATGTAGTTACTTCTCCTAGATCTTCCGTGGAGAAGGTGCACTTGAATTTGCCCTCGAGCTCGTGAGCCAGCTCCATGCCCATGAGGGAGTCGATTCCGATGTCAGCAAGTTGAGTATCGGCCTTAATGTCCACCGAGTCCAGACCAGACAAATCCACGAGGGCAGCCGTAACAATGCCGGGAATATCTGGTCGCGAGATCGTTTTCCCCTGCTTCTTTGGTTTGGGGGCTTTCGCTTCCTTGGATGACTGAGCAGACGGTGGAGTGACACCCATCTTTGCAGGCGCCGAGGGCACGGCAGCTGGCGCGGCTAGCTGGACGCCACCAGCAGTGAGTCGGCTTAGAATTTTGCTCATGGACAGCTTCGGAACTTTCGCATAGTTGATGCCGAGGATGACTTCCATCAGGACACCAGTAGTCGCATCAAAGACGAAAATGTCCGTGACGTAGGCCTTGTCTGACTTGCGGTGATGATAGGCGAGCACGTCCCATACCGATGGCTGGGTGACTGGGATGCCGGAATTGGGGGAACGGATCCATTTTTCGAATCCGTTGGCAATGAACATGTCCGTTGGGGCTCGGTCTGTCATACAGTTGACCCAGATACCACCAACCTGGCTGAAGCAGTCTGACAGGTGCGTATCAAGCCAGGTCTCCCCTGTGTGTTGCTTAACAACCCGTCCGGCAGACTTGTTGCTTTTTCCAACCAGTTTCTGAAGACCACGATACATCTCCCCATAGTCTAAAATTTCAGCAAAAGTCCTGTAAATATTGCGACCCTGGATAATGTCGTCTGCATCAGTGCTGTTGAGAACAGATATACAGCGGTCGTGCCCAGCAAGACGCTCGTATGTAGAAAACTCGGCCTGAAAGTCCAAGTCATCAACAGAGCGCAACATGATCTTCCCAGACACGTGCAGGGTTGTAGCAGAACCTTTTAAACCAGTGCTGGTTATCCTCCAAGCCCAGGTATGAAAGTCGGTGTCAACTGCTTCAAGCTCCAGCCAGACGGCACGTGACGGATCAACGCAGATTGCAGCTTGATTTTCTACATTGTGAATTTGCGGCTGAAGATTGGAAACTGCCAAATCTGGACGTAGATTAAGAAGGGCTTCGATAGCTATGTCTACCTCCAACGTTGCAGGGCAAATAGGCGCCGTCTGAGCAACAAAGTGACCAGACACGAATTCTTCATACTTCTTGATCATTGTATTGATTCGAAATCGGGCAGAGCGCTGTTTGCTATCCTGATATCCAATAAACGTAAAGAGACCCTTTGGTAGCTCTTCTTGCTGAGCTGGTAATTGAGGCGCTGGTTCGGTAATCGCCTTTTCAGGTTTCTTGAGTTCCAACCAGTGCCTGTTCTTCTCGAACTGATATGGTGGCAGCAGCAGAGGTGCATATTCATAGGTCTGCGAGGGGTGGTGTGCCCAGAATGATACAAGCAGTCCTTCTTCCCAGAGGCTCACAGTTGTATCAATGAGATTCTGGAGCCCATTGTCGCCGGTGATGTTGATAGATTGAAAGTGAGAATTGCTGGAGGATTCTAGTGCTCGGCTCGCCATAGTCGTGACGGTCGAATTCGAACCAGCTTCAAGCCAGACGCAAGAGGGGAACTGTTTTGCAAGCCTCTGCACGGCATGGTTGAAATACACCGGGTTTCTCATATGGTCTGCAAAGAACGTTGAGGAGAGTTTCTCTGTTGTTTCAGACTCTGTAGCTCTCTCCCACGGAATTGTAGGTTCGGCAAACGACAGGCCGCGTCCTAATTGCCCTAAATCCGCCATAAGAGGCTCTACAAGGGTTGAGTGAAACGCGTTGGTAACAGCGAGCTTCTTTACCCGCATCCCGGAGTAGCTTGATGCGATCCCTGCAACCGCATCGATAGCCTTGGCCGAACCTGCTAGAGTGAAACTCCTGGGACCGTTGAAACAGGCGATTGTTGGCGGCTGTTCGTCCTTGCATGTGTTGCTTGACTCGTCCAACAGCCTATGCACGTCCTCGAGGTCGGCCGTCACCGCGAGCATTGAGCCCCGATCGGTGATCCAGGAATCTTTCACAAGCTGGGCCCTAGCTGCAATTATTTTGATAGTGTCTTTGAGAGACAAAACACCACAGATACAGAGGGCAGTCAATTCGCCAAAGCTGTGGCCTACAACAGCAGCGACCCTTACGCCAGACTCAATCCAACTTTTCGCGCAAGAGTACTGGATCGCGAAGAGCATTGTCTGAAGCTTGACGATGTCTTCAATTGGCGTTTTCTGGAAGATCTCGGGGTAGATTCCGCTGAGGCCAATTGACTCGAGGACAGAATTGCATTGGTCAAGATAACTTCGTAGTAGGCGAACACCGTCATAGACCTTTCGATCTAATCCAACGGACGTAGAAATCTGACCACCGAAGCACAACACAACTGGCCTAGGAGGCTTTTTCACGGTTACACTGACGCCCTTGTCCCCGTTGATGAATGCTGTCAATTTGGCTTCCAATTCTGAGACTGAGCTACAACTGAAGATCAAGCCTTTGTTAAGGGATCGATTGGACTGCCGAAAGACATTGAATGCAAGATTGGCCAGAGAGATATCCCTTGCCGTTACGATCTTCGACTGGATGAATTGCTTCAGCCGGGCAGAGTATTCCCGAAGGCTTCGGTCATCAAACCCACAAATCCAGAACGGGTGCTTTATCTTTACGGAGTGGATGAGAGACGAGCCGGCACCTTCATGCTGTAAGGGCTGAGTGACCACCATTGACGCGTTTGAGCCTGACGCACCATAGTTGTTGATGAGCGCAGCCCGGAAATCAGAATCCCAACTCTTGAAGCGCGTGACTACCTCCATCATGTCCGATGGTGATGCTTTGATGTGTGGGCTCAAGGTCTGAAAGCTAGCCTGCGGAGGTATGGCACCCTCCTGAATCATAAGAAGGATTTTGATAAGCGCGATAACACCCGAGGCACACTCCGTGTGTCCGATATGCCCTTTGACTGAGCCGATAGGCAGTGGGGTCGAGCGGATAGGCCCTCCAAACACCTGCCGAACGCTCTCATACTCAGCCGGATCACCAACAGGGGTTCCAGTCCCGTGAGCTTCCACGACAGAAATATCCTTTGGCTCAATTCCAGCTCGCTGTGTGACATCACGGAACAGGCCCGAGAGTGATGGGGAATTCGGCACAAAAATGGGGGTGCAATTCTCGTTTTGATAGACAGCGGTACTGCCAATGCAACCAATGATGGGATCTCCGTCTGCAACGGCTTTGGACATTTTCTTCAAGAAAACAGCTGCAATGCCTTCGCCTCGGCAGTAACCATCGGCCTTGGCATCAAAAGGCTTGCAAGCCCCAGTCGGGCTTAGAAATGTTGCCCCTGCCAAGTTCTGAAACCACAAAGGGCTAGTCATCACCGTGGTCCCCCCAGCCAATGCGGCAGTGCATTCGCCACTAAGTATAGCCTGGCATGCCTGGTGGACAGCAACGGCAGATGCAGAGCAAGCAGTGTCAATGGTAAGTCCTGGTCCAGTCCAGCCGAAATAGTGGCTGATCTTACCCGCAATAAAGCTCTTTAAATTACCTGTTGCCGAAAATGCGTTCGGAGGGTGACAAGCGATGTTGTTCTCGTAGTCAACAGCGCAGACACCAATGTAACATCCAACATGCTTGTCAGCATTTACTAAGTTGAGGTGTCCTGACTGCTCAACAGCTTGGTAGGCAATCTGCATCATGAGCCTCTGCTGTGGGTCTTGGGAGATCACTTCTCTAGGGCTCTTCTTGAAGAATTTGTGGTCGAAAGCATCATGATCTCGGACAAAGTTGCCGTACCACTTCCGCTTGGGATCAATGTCGCGCCAATGCGTCTCAAACCCAAAACGTTCCTTGGGAACTTCAATGTGCTGGGAGCGTCCCTCGCACAGAGTCTTCCAGAATTCTTCAAGATCATCTGCGCCTGCAACCTTGCAAGATGCGCCTATAATAGCAATGGCATTTTCCGAGTAGCTATGCGGATACTTCAAAGAAGCCCGCAGCTTATGCCTATCGGGTGACAACCGAGACTTGGCCTCCTCAAGATTGGTCATGTGGATCAATTTTGAGCCGAGGCCACGCATGAGCGAGGGAGGAACACATCTTTCAAGACCGAAGCAGATTAGATGAGATCCGTCGTTCTTCAGTCGTAAAGAATATACAGCACTAAAGCTCTGGTACCACTGTGACTGTTCGACCAGTATGGACCGCAAAGCTATATGATGGAGTCTTCCTTGGGTGATAATGTCTCCTCCGCAACTTGATCGAATCGGCAGCACCAGTTCTGACGCTTCAGGGAATTGCATTTCTGACATACCATCGCAGAAGCTGATTAGAGATTCCATATCGTCATGGTAACATTCGCAGTGAAAACGCCCACGAAGGCCGACTTCCGTTGCAATGACACCGGCGGCTCTTAGTCGTTGTTGCAACGAGGAAGCTGTACTAGCAGATGTAGTCACAGTAGCTCGATTTTCATCGTAGCAAACAGAAATGTAGGCCTGCAAGACCACTCAAATTAGCAAGGTTGAGCTAAAGCCTGTAAGTATCAGGTAGGGGTATTTCACCTCGGGAAACTGCTGCAATATCCGTGTCATCTCCGTCTTTGTTTCACTGGAATTCCAAACTGTTGCAAAAGACGTTGATTCCCCATACTTGCCCAAGGCATCTTGAGCATCTACGAATGCTCCGATGAGCGCTGCCAGACGTACCGCGGCTGCACCATATTGCTGGAACTGAACCTGATTACCGGCGCTGGACACGGCCAGCGCACTCAAAAGACCGGTGCAGAAGCCGACAGTCTCAGTCTTTCCAGTGTTGGAAGCATATAAATCTCGTCCATTTCCAGATTCGCTGTGAACAAGTTTCAGGTACTGCGAGTACTGTGTCAACTGCGTGAGGACCACTAGAGGGCTGAGTAGAATGTTTGGCAGATGAAATGACGCTGGCGGGACCTTGCCCGTCTTGAACCAGTCGTTCAGATCTTCAAGCTGCTGCACCCCCGATAAAGCCTGAAGTTTAGGGAACACCCTCAAGCAAGTCTTCAAATTGGTTGGCAGTTCGGCAACGACGTCAAGTATCCAGTGGTTTTCTGCGTGGTCCAAAATAAGTGACCTGAGCTGATGGAAAGAATCTTCCTGGAACGAAAGAGCCTGTGGCCCGAACAGTAGGACGGTGTTCCCATCCGATGAGCGCGCCATCTCTGTAAACAGTAAACTGTTGAAGTTTTTCTTTTTGCAAAGGGTTGAAGAAAGGCAGGCGTAGTAAGAGGCTTTTAGAAGATCGGACGACTGGAATCACGCTCTTGGGTAACGGTTCCATGGTGAAGTACTTACAATGGCTTTTTACTGTACCGCTAAAACAAGCCATGTGTTGGAAAATCAGAAATATTCACCAAGAGCTGAGATAGATAGTTTCGAATCCAACAGCTTAGACGTTACTGAGGATTCAGCTGTTGCCGCTATGGTACCAACTGCATTTTGGCTTGAGTCAGAGCTGCCTCCCGTAAGGGCGGAGTTTTTCACCGGACCTTTGAATCGGAGTTTCCTATCGGCTGTTGCAGACCACAGATCATCACAGACCATTTTTGGGCATAGGTCAGGGGTGCCAGAATCCTTTCCAGATGCGAAAATGAAGGCTACTGGTACGAAGTCGAAGTATTCATAGCTCGGCGCCTGCATCAAGCTACAGCGATACCTGGCAGATTAAGATAGCGAGTCTTTGATAAGCCCATGGCATTGTCGACAGCGAGACCAACGTAGACTGGGAACAGATGTCCCCAATCAAGGCCTCTGCTGTAGATCAATATGGTATGGTTGTGGATTGACACGTTCTGCCTAACATAACGTTAGGAAAAACAGCCAAGACACCAGACCATCCTACGGCGGACCGGAGGACTGTTATTGGACCATCAATCATTGGCGTTACTCTTTCAAAAGAGGGTGCATATCCAACCACACTCTGATGCAACAATGCATGTAGGGTTGCTTACGGATTTAGTCGGCTTTAGATAGCATTTCTCCGCAGCAATAGGGCGAGGTCCCGTTCTCCCTTGGAGGAGCTAGAACCGACTTAAAAGAGTGGCATTTCCCGGCTTACTGTGTCTATCCTTCTAATTCCCTTCGGCTTACTTTGTTCAACCGAAATGCCTTCCAACCAAGCCGCGTGGTTGCCTGCTCAGAAAGTCAGACCTCTTGAGGTCAAGACTGCAGCTTACACTCCTCCGGGCGAGAAGGAGATTGTGGTGAAGAATCATGCATTGGGCCTGAACCCGGTGGATTGGGCAAGGCAAGACCTCGGCGATGCCCTATTCTCTTGGACCAAGTACCCTTGCATTTTGGGCTCGGATGTCGCAGGTGAGGTGGTCGAAGTTGGCAGTGGTGTCTCTCGGTTTCGAGTCGGTGATCGTGTTACTGGTCTCGCACTTGAGTTGACGAGCAACAAACCATCGGAAGGTGCCTTCCAGGCCTATACCGTCCTTGCTGCCCATATGGCATCGCCAATTCCTAGCACCTTATCCTACGAGGGCGCATCTGTTCTCCCCTTAGGTCTCTCCACAGCAGCGTGTGGTCTATTCCAGAAAGCCTACCTGGCCCTCCAATTGCCCTCATCTCCTCCAAAGCCGGCGACCGGAGAAACTTTACTTGTCTGGGGAGGTTCGACAAGTGTCGGCAGCAACGCAATCCAGCTCGCTGTCGCTGCCGGCTACGAGGTGATTACTACTGCCTCGCCAAGGAACTTTGTTTATGTCAAGAAGCTCGGTGCCAGCCAGGCCTTCGACTACCACAGCGAGGCGGTCGTTGCGGATTTGATCACTGCATTCAAGGGCAAAACCAGTGCAGGTGCTATTGCTATTGGTGAAGGATCTGGAGATCCCTGCGTTGAGGTTGTTGCCAAATCCAGCGGCAAGAAATTTGTTGCATTGGCCAATCCACCATCCAAAGAGCTGCCGAGTGGTATTGGTGGCAAATTCATCTTTGGCAGTGACCTCAAGGATAATGAAGTTGGCCCTGCCATCTATGTGGATTTTCTGCCCAAGGCCCTGGCGGATGGATCTTATATTGCTGCTCCGGATGCCCGGGTCGTTGGTAATGGCCTTGAGTCCATTCAAGGTGGACTGGACTTGCTAAAGAAGGGCGTATCTGCTATGAAATATGTCATCTCTCTGTAGTTTTTGGGAATATAGTAGTGCAGGAAATAGGTATGGAAGAGCTTCGGAGCACTCATCCGATAGAATCACCACAGCGCCCAGATTCAATTATCTACAGCCATAAGGCTGATTATACAACATGCTTCCGAGAGATATAGACATTCCACAAGAGAAACGAAGGCAATTTCAAGTTACACTGTGAGCGGCCAGGACTAAATCCCCTATCCTGTTAGTGTTAGAAAGCCGGGATGTATTCGGAACGATACATTCAGAACGAGATATTCAACAACGGTATATTTAGTAACGGCATATCTGAACTAATATCTTAACAACTATTTCGGTGTAAACTCCACAATAATTGATAACTCTTTTAATAATATACTAGTGGTAACGTGTTGTTAGGGCTCAATAAGTTACGATAAGTCAAGACTAGGCTGGACGGTCTAGGTAGGGTGAATTTATAGAACAGCGGCACTAATATATAGCACTAAAAATGTTTTTAAGCGTTACCCCGCTGGAGTTTTCTCTACCGCCGGCTCGGACTAACTGAGCAATATTCTTGTGGTTGTGTGTCAACCCTACTCCGTACCACTGGTGGAAAAGCGGTGAACAAATGGGTCTGTAGGATAGTGATTGAGTGTATTGCCTGCATGGAGAGTGCAGGCTCTTTCGGAAGGGGGTCCACGAGATGATTAATCAAGGAAATGGCAGTTGACTTATGTCCTACTGATACGAGGCCAGGAACCTTGGAAGAACTTGAAGTTTCCACCCTTAGCAGCCTACCCGTTATAATCTCACAACACTGTTTGTTAAGAGCGAGGGAGATCTAACACCCGTCATTGCCTGCCTGCCTGTCCTCAGGTCGCTCGCTGTTATTCTGAATAATGGTTGCCAGCGTTCCTCTCTTACAGTCTGTCCTCGGCGTTGTACGCTTCATCAACCTCACAGACTTGTTTGCACCAAGTCTGTCGCCGGGTGCTCAGATTATCTTGCCTACCGACCCAAATTTCGCCTCCAGAGTGACCCAGCGATGGACTGATTATGACGCCCCATCGTACATTGGCGCCATCAAGCCCGCTACCGAGACCGATATCCAAAACATTGTGAGCATTTATCAAAAGAACTCCTTGTCTACCTGCTGAAGTTCGAGACTCCAGGTAACAATCGCAGCGGCAAACGAAATCCCTTTTCTCACCACGGGCGGTGGTCATGGTATATCCGACTACCACGCTTTCAATGGCCTTTCGATTGATCTGAGTAATTTCAATTCCGTGCATCTGGAACCTTCCGAGAACCGCCTTACCATCGGTGGGTCCGCGAAGATTTGGCAGTTGATCAAGCCCTTACATGATGCCGCAAAAGAGTTTCGTACGTCCTTCCATCTACGACGTCAGATGTCGCTTACTCACCACAACCACTGGTAGCGCTGGGCTCATGCGAATGTGTGGGCATAGTTGGAGCTACTATGGGTGCTGGCATATCTTCTCTCCAGGGCCATCGCGGGCTCATGCTGGATGCTTTGGAGTCTGTCCGGTTGGTGACTGCAGATGGGAAGATTGTCGAGGCATCCAAGACCCAAAATCCCGACCTCTTCTGGGCCATTCGCGGCGCTGGCAGCAACTTTGGCGTTGTCACCTCGGCGACCTACAAGATATATAATGCTTCAAACAATCAGTACGCCATGAATGCCGACTTTGTCTTCCCAGCCATCGCGAATCAAAGTTTCTGGCAGATCATGAAGTCCTTCGACCACACGCTGCCTTCTCGTCTTGCCCTGACCGCTGTTGCATTTTATGATCGGATCAATAATCAAGTAAGATATCTGAACGAATTGAAAAGCTATTCAAGCATTGACCTTTCTAGCCAGTGATTGCCCTCAATGCAGTCTTCTTCGGGCCTCTCGAAGAAGGCGACCGGTATCTGTGGCCATTCAAGGCCCTTAACCCCACGCGGAGCAATGTCAGCCTGGTTCCAACAAAAGACTTGATGGATGCGGCATTCTTCAATTTCTTTGGTAAAGACAACGGAGCATGTCTCCCCAATCAGCACATCAATATCTACACGGTTGGGCTCAAACAGATTGACCCATCTACCTTTGAATCATTTTTCGCCAACCTGACGGATTTCTGGGTCGCCAATCCCGATTTTCAAGGCCGCTTGCTGCTGCAACGGTATCCCAGTCAGGCTGTCCAAGCAGTTCCAGACACTGAGACCGCCTATGCGTATCGAGATATCAAGACATACATGTGAGTCTCAGAGGTCTGACCAAGGAAATGCCGTCCGCTGACAGGATGATACACAAGGAACATCGAAGGCTTCTACACGGACAAAGATCTCGACGATGCTGTGAACTCATTCGCGAGGCCCGCACGCGATGCATTCGCCAAGACGAGCGGCTTAGAGACCCTGGCAACCTACTCCAACTACGCTCATGGAGATGAAGGTCCCGAAGCATGGTATTCGGCACGGAAATTGCCCCAGCTGTCAGCGTTGAAGCGGAAATGGGACCCGGATCAGTTATTTAGCTGGAATAACCCTGTGCCCTTGCATTGGCCCTGAGAAGCCAGCGGTCTTTGTTGGGAATATATGTCGACGAGCTCATACTATTCCCACCACTTCACATCTAAAAATACAGTTTAGATCGGCATGATGAACACCAGAAGAATTCAATCACTATTCCCATTCACCTGTTGGGATGTTGTTACCTGTAGCTTGACATCTTTCTACAGCCTAACAGCCTCCAATTCCAACTCCAGTTCCTTCTTCAGTGTAGCTACAATCCGAGATAACACATCCCGAGCCATGCCATCTTCATGGTAAGCCGTGTTATAGTTGACAGACAAGGTCAACTGCCCTCGAAAAGTCCACACATACAGCAAAATCTGTCTCGTCATCATGCTAACACCAAAACGGAACTTGTCGACTTGTAGAGCGTCTCCATAATCTCCCGCGAGATACTGCTCTATAACTCCCAGACTGCTAAGAGTGACACCGCTTGGCGGTTTCGATGGGGGAAGTCCCGGTGGACGAGGCGCGAAGAGCCTTTCTGCGTGGTATCTGTAGATCCACCGCAGTGACTGGCTGAACTTTTCCGTGTGCCAAGTTTTGTATTCTTGGGTCAGAGCAAGTGCTGATTCGCAGAAATCGCTGGTCTTTTGCACTGTTGGAGTTATACTTGCCACGTATGTTTGACAGGCATGAGCCTTGGAGTTATAGGGCCAGGGCAAGTACGTGCGCATGTTGACAGCCGTGACGGTTGTGTAGTCGACCAGCTGATCTTCTGGAGAAGCAAATGAGAAAAATGTATGGGCCAGAGCGCCGTGGATTGCTGCGGAGACGCTGATATTGCGGCGCTTGCAAGAAGCAACTAGTGCACTTGTACTATCCTTTGCTAGGACCATGTCCTGGTGCGAGGTTTTGGCTGGCAAGGTTGCTGAGTCTCCTCTGTATGGAAGACCGCCAGCGTTGACCGCTTTCATGTGAAAATTGTCGATGTATTGGCGTGCAAACTCTTGCAGCTCTGGGATTTCATTCTCGGGTGATCCTGCGGCGTCTTCCAAGCTTGGAGAGATTTTCTCCACTTCCGGCCTTCTTCCCTGCGACAAGGCCAGGTCTTGCGGCTGTCCCACAATAGAGAAAAAGCGGTCAAGTAACATAGACGTGCCAATGGCGTCGGTTCGCCAATGCTGGCTGAGAAAGACGATCTCAGAGGAGCATGGCAAATAGAAGAGGCCGGGTAGATCTCTCGGTTTCGAGTTGGCGATTATGCTGTCTGCGTTTCCAACTGATTCGACAAAGAATGTTTGATCCGCCCATTTGTCCGCAGCTTGAACGTCTGGAACCACGAATACCTTGCTGAGGCCATTCGGAACCACGCTGAGGCCGGGGTATTCGGTCATTAAAGCTATCCAAGCCTCTCGCAAGGCAGATACGATGTGACGATTCCGGAAGGATGGACCAAGATGGATGCGGCATACACAATGTATCCCCCAGTGTTCTTTTTCAATGTGACTGAAAGCAGTGGACATATTGCGGTATATCTTCTCCACGCCGCTGAAATCTTCTTGAAACACTCCAGGAGCGGTTTCTGTCCAGACCATCTTGAAAGCTTCTGGAAAATGAGATAAAAGGGTGCAGATGGTTTTACGGCACCACAAGAGACATGGATATTATCGATGTGGGTAGAATTATTAGCTCCAAGCAACCCCCCTCCCCCCTGACATTACTTCACAAACTCCCATGATAAGTTCTGAGTTCTCCAAAATGTGTCAACAATGTTTCCACGTGCTCACGTGTCCTAGACCGGCAAGTAGAGGTGCTTCGGAAGTAACTATTTTAAATTCGTACCGAAGCATTCGTGGTAAGCGACCTGGGACAGATAGGGCTTCGATGCCAGGAAACCCTGCCCGTAACAAGTCGGTTGTTTATGGCGAATGCCATCCCATTGCAGAACTAGAATGGGTACTGGGACCTAGCCTATCACGGAAGCTTCTCCAAGTAGCCATTTTCAGCTTAGCTGATTTCGGAAAAAAGTTGTTTGATTTTCCCTGAGAACGAGTTTTGCAGTATCGACGGTGAGCCATCTACACCGCCAAACCACCCATTATTCTCTGCCAGCTTTTCCCTTCTATTTCCGGCCCGTGAACTTGATATCTCCGGTATGCATTCGGGGTCTTTGGGCCCCCACTGCGTTTCCACGAGATCAGTTGGGAGCTGCGTGTAGAAACTCCGTGGAAGATGTTCTCCGGAAGAGCTTGTTAGTCCACTGCTTCATGGGTTGGAATACAAGGTTTAAATTTTATGGGGAACGATTCTCCGAATGAATTTGTGTGGCCGCAGGGATGGATGGCTAAATGGCCAAGACGGAGCTGTACGCATGAGCAAGAAAACAGGCGCCAAAAGGTTAGCGCTGACGGGATTTGAACCACACTTGATGGATAAATCTCTACTGACTACGGCGGACTGTTACGACCAAACGGCCA